GCGGCGGCGGCGGCCGTTGGCGTCCAGTGAAGACCGTGTTGGGGTCTCGATAGGGCTTCAAGAGTTGGACATGGAAGGCGTTGTGAATCTTCCAAGTAGCTGGCAGGCGTAAGCGGAAGGTAACATGAGTAATTTGTGCTTCAACGAGAAAAGGCCCGCAAAAGCGAGGTCGTAGTTTGGATGGGAGATGGCTGGTGTCAAGATTGCGCATGTCGAGTAGTACGCGATCTCCCACATTGATGGTGTGGTCTGTGCGGTGGCGATCGGCCTGGCGCTTCTGTTGTTGCTGAATGTCGAGAAGGCGCTTGTGGGTCCGATCCCAAAGTTTGTGCATAGTCGTGATGAAATCATGAGCGGGTTGGACTGTGGCTGGTATGTTTGGCTGTTGAGGTGTGAGTGGGTGGCGTCCGTAACAGAGGAAGAACGGCGTTTGTCCAGTAGCGGCATGAGTAGCATTGTTGTAGGAAAACTCCAGGACGGGCAGATGCAAGTCCCATTTGGAGATGTCGTCCTTGCAGGCTGCGCGAAGGAGTTGCTCCACAATTTGGTTGAGGCGCTCGGTCTGTCCATCTGTCTGCGAATGGTAGGCGGATGACATGGCGAGTTTGGTCCCGAGCAGAGACATGAGTTCCTTTCAGAACTTGCTGGTGAACTTGGGGTCTCGGTCGGAGATGAGTGTGGTTGGAATGCCATGTTGTGAGATGATGTAGCGAACAAAGAGTTGTGCTGTTTCTTCGGCGCGTGTTGTCGTGTGTGTCGGGATGAAGTATCCCATTTTGGAGAACTTGTCGATGACGACAAGGATTGCGTCATGACCGCCGGTGGTAGGTGGTAACCCGGTGATGAAATCCAGGCTAACCACTTGCCATGGTTGTTCTGGGACATGAAGAGGCTGGAGTAGACCCGCCTTTTTCTGCTTGCTGCTCTTCATCCGCTGACATGTAGTGCACGAGGTGACGAATTTCTGTATGTCATCTACCATGTGGGGCCAGTAGTAGTGTTTGGCGATACCGGTAAGCGTCTTGTTGCTACCGAAGTGTCCTGCGTACAGGACGTCGTGGTATTCTTCGAGTAGTAACTGGCGCAATGGAGGGTAATTAGGTACCCAGATCTTCGTTGATCCTTTCCGGTACGCGATGTCGTTGTCCCACTGTAGCAGATGTCGCTTTTCTGCCAAGGGAATTTCAGGGTCGATGGTGTACCCATGTGTGAAGAGTCCCCTGAGGAGTGGATTCATCCCTTCAATCTGGATCGCGGCAACGTGTGTAGGCCGGCTAAGCGCATCTGCTTTGTTTTTGTGGCCAGGCTTGTATACGATGTCGTAGTGGAAGTGCGTCTCGAGGAAGGCGATCCACCGAACCTGTCGCCTGGAAGGGCTTGGTTGCGTCTTCAAATATTTTACGCTGCAATGGTCGGTGTAGACTCATTTTGCGTCCTTCGAGATAGCATCTCCATGTTTTGAAGGCGATGATGATAGCCAGGGCCTCCTTGTCGTGTATCGGAGAGTTGAGTTCTGCCCAGTGTAATTTCTTGCTGAGGTAGGCGATTGGTTGCAGTCCATTCCCCTGGTCTTGCATCAAGACTGCTCCCACTGCCTGGTCGTTGGCGTCAGCTTCGATGACGTAGTCGCGTTCGGGGTCTGGCAAGATGAGTACTGGTGCAAACGTGAGTTCTTGTTTCAGCTGCTCCACGGCTTCCTGATGCTTCGGCTCCCATTCATAGAGCGTGTTCCTTTTTAGCAGATTCGTGAGTGGCGTGGTGATTTTCGCGTATTGTGGCACGAACCTGTTGTAGTAGTTAGCAAAGCCAAGGAATTGTTGTGACTCCTTCACATTCTCTGGTGTCTTCCACGTACGCACGGCTTCGATTTTCTTAGGGTCAACGTGAACTCCTTGAGCGCTTACGATATGTGCGATAAATTGGACTTTCTCGAGGGCGAAGTCGCTCTTGGATAGTTTGACGTAGAAGCGTTCTCGTCGAAGAATCTCGAAGACGCGTCGTAAGTGTTCGACGTATTGTTGCATGTCGCGCGAGTAGATGATGATGTCATCCAGGTACACCACCACGCATTCGTCCAAGAGTGGGCGTAGGATATGATTCATCTCTGCTTGGAACATTGCATGTGCGTTGGTGAGTCCGAACGGCATCACCAGATACTCGTACGATCCGTACCGAGTTCGGAAGGCAGTTTTGTGAACAGAATCGTCTGCCATTCGTATTTGCCAGTATCCGGACCGTAGATCTAGTTTTGAAAATACCGTGGCTCCCCGATGATGGTCAAGTAGATCATCGATTCGTGGAATCGGGTACTTATTCTTGATAGTCTGCTTGTTGAGAGCCCGGTAGTCGATGCACATGCGCAGGCTTCTGTCCGGTTTCGATATGAAGAGTACTGGGGTACCGTATGGCAAAGTGGATGGTCGGATGAGTCCTTTGGCGAGGAGATACTCGATCTATTTCTTCATGTCGGCTAGTTCTGTGGGGCTTAGCCGATATGGTGCTCGGAAGGTCGGCTTCGAACCTGGTTCCTCCATGATCTCGTGTTGGTGCGTTCGGTATGGCAGTAGCTCGTCCAGGAGGTCGTCGGGAAGAATGTCTTGGAACTCCTTCAGTAAGTCCTTGATTTTTTCTGGAGGTTCCGATGCTTTCTCTCGGTCATTTTGCACCTCTGTTGCTATCGCCAGGAACCCGTTGTTGGTTCGTTTCACGTCCTTCTCGAATCTGGCTAGTGTCTCCACTGGGATATCTCTTGTATCGTCCCAGTTGGGTAGCTGGACTCTTCTTCATTTGTTGTAGATGCTTGCGGTGCGGTTTACCCAGTTGATCTCGGGGTTGAATTTCTTGAGGAAGTCTCGCCCGAAGATCAGGTCAAGCCCTTTTACAGTATATTAGTGATAGGGAGAGAAGGTTTCCAGCGCAGTGGACCGATTTGTAGGTGTAGCACTGCTTCGCCGTACACTGGTAACTTGCTGCCGTCCACCATTGTTCCAGAAAACGCTGATAGCTTGTACTCTTCTCGAAGTCGGTCGATGGTTGCCTTGTCGCATACGGTGTGCGATGCTCCGCTGTCCACGAGTGCTTGGAGGCGTCGTCCTTTGCAGATGACCTCGAGCACGAGGGGCAGGCGCTGCTCGGAGTACCCAAAGATAGTTTCATTAATTGGGTCATAGGGTACATCCCAATATTCGTTGCTTCCTACTCCTGAGCTGGCGGCTGGCCAAGGCTCCTTGGAGAAGGGCTCTTCTCCAGGGCCAGGAGTTTCTTTGACGACTGTGCGCGTCGTTGATGCCGAAGTTGCTGAAATGGATGCATCCGGAGGAGGAGTTCGGGGTTTTTGCAGCTTCTTGTAGACCCCCAGCTTCCTCTTGAGCTGCTTCAGCTCCACCGACGTCTTCCCTGGGGAACGGGTAGTCGCTGTGGGCTGGTGTCGGGAGAGGACGTTGACTCTGTGGAAAGGTCGGCTTCTTTCCACACTCCTTAACTTGGTCCCCAAGTTCTCCGGTACCGGTATAATCTCCACAGCTTTCTGCTTCTTTTGGAGTCCTTCCCGAATTTTCTCCAAGGCTCTAGCCCCTCGAGAATCATAAGTTTTCATTAAAGCATCTTTATAGGATAGCTTTAACAAATTCTTATAATTTCTTGGGTCTTGAAGAAGTTTCCCCGTCTTGGCAGAGTCCTTTTTCGCGGAGTTAGATTTTTCCTCGGCGATTTCCTCTGGCGAAGACAGCTCGTGGGGTGGAGATTCTTCCCCATCATTTTCTCATGTTCGCGTCGAATCAGCTGCGTCGAAGTTGATTTTTCCGGAAGTCTGCGGCCGCTTTCGAATCTTTTCTTTTTCGTCAGCTAGATCCGCAATCACTGGCGAGTCCTGTTTTTTTGCTTTTGATTGGCCGAAGGATTTCCGCCACTGTTGCGTGCCCGATACTCAGCGCGTGCGGCTTTCATTTTGTTGCAGTCGAAGATTCGATGACCCGGCACCCCGCAAAAATCACACGTGTAGTTGGTGTTTTTCGGACGTGGCCGCCCTTCGAACATGTCGACTTCCATCGGGTCGGCGAACGTGGGGTGAGCCGAGCGGTCGCCCTGTCGTGTACTGCCGACGTGCGTCCGTCGTTGACCATGTCGAAGCGTTCCGCAGCCGATACGACATCACTGTAGCTCGCGTAGTTTGTCGCTGCCACTTGTCGTTTGACTTCGGTCTTCAGCCTGGCGAGGTACGACTGTACTTTTTCCCCTTCGGTCAGATCGGGAATACGGTTATAAAATTCCTCCATCTGCTGCGTGTACTGCGCTACACTCCCGAACTGTCGATGGCGATGAATTTTTTCCCGGGCAAGGAACCCCGAATTTATCGGCTCGAAGCGTTTCAGCAGGTCGGTGCGGAACTGCTGCCACGTGGCTTCACCGTGGATGAAGGTGTTGTTGCCGTCAATCCACTCGAGTGCCGGCCCTCGCATCAGTGTCGCCGCGAGTCGTACGCGTTGACCGTCCCAGACTGCCGAGCTCCATCCGACGGCTGCGAAGTAGATCTCCATCCCGGCGATCCATCTACGGACGTCGGAGTTTCGATCGCTCGGATCGAACGGCTCAGGTGGGCGCGGTTTCGGAGCCTCGAGAAATTGCTGCGACTGCTGCCTCGTCGCCGTTGTCGTTTCGTGTTGCGCTCCGGCGAGTCGAGTTACTTGCTCGAACTCGTTTCGCGACGCTTCGCGATCCGCTCGCATCTCCTTCTGAAGGGCTGCAATGCGCGCGAAGAGTTGCTGTATAACCTCGGGGTTGTCGAAGTTCGCCATTCTGTTCAAAACACGCGCGGAGGGGGTAATTCGAAAAAACGCGGAGCTGGTGCTGACCAGAATCGGCGTCGAATTGGTCGCCCCCGGCGGTTTTTCGAGGCAGGATCCCCCGCTGCTGCTGCTTAGCTGAGTGCGGCCGAGTGAGAAAAGCTCTGATTACCAAGTGTAGCAGGATCGAATGTCCCGAGGAAAGGTTGCACTATCGATTGATACAACGTGCTTTTATACTTCAAAGTACATCAGGCAACCAGGTTGATCCTATCCCAAGGGAATAGACCCTTCTAGAAAATAGAATCACCATGCGTATAGCCACGCGAGGCTATTGGCTTTAAGGGATTACGGCAGGATTACGCTAGATATAGTGCGCCAGTACATCCCGACCCGAGCCTTGTCGGTGATATAATGATAATAACAGGATAACCCAAAGATTTATGAAAAAGGGGAAATAGGAATCCAAATGGAATGAGATAAAGACCAAATGAATCAGGATAAAAAGAGGAATGAAATGGAAAGGGAAGGTGAAAAGGAGAAAGGAATGGAACGGGGTCGTACTCTCACAGGGGGAGGGCGCGACTGATAGCAAGCTGCGCAACTGCGCCACGCGACTCCCAGACGGAGCGAGCGAGCTCAGCAGCTACAAAGGCCTCACGCTCAGCGGGCGTGGGGGCGTCAGAGAGGGCAGCAGGCGGGTTGGGGCAGGGGATTTTACCGTCGACATGAAAGGCCAGAGACTGGCCATCCTGGCGCTGTCCCATCAGCGAGCGGCGCAGGTCGACGAGCCATGCCTCAAAGTCGATTGCCCGACCCTCCGCGTCTAGGCGGAGCACATCGTCCGCCATCGCCACGGCTGCAGTAGCTCACCGCAGCTAGGGGAGGAGGAGGAGAGAGCGTTGGAGAGCAGCGGTGGCTCAGCGGCTCCGCTACTCGGCGGCTCGGCTACTCGGCGGCTCGGCTGCGCGGCTCAGCAGCTCGGCGGCGCGTCTCAGCAGCTCGGCGACGTAGTGGCTCGGCAGCTAGGCGCGGCGCAGTAAGGCGGGGCCAGCGCGGCGTAACGGGGTCAGCGCGGAGTGACGGGGCCGGCGCAGCATGAGGGGGGGCCAGTGCGGAGTGACGGGGCCGGAGTGTCGTAAAGGGGCCAGCGCGGCGTGTCGGGGCCGGCACGGCGTGACGTGGCCGGGGCCAGCGTGGCGCGACGGGACGGGGCCAGCGTGGCGTGACGAGGCGTGGGCTAGGACGCTGTCTAAGGCTAGGGCTAGGCCTAGGGCTATGGGCGAAAGCGTAGGCGGGGAGGGGGACCTACCCTTCCGTGATACCATGTGAGTTTGATTGTGAAATACGAGGTTTTGTGCTATGGTGCTGTACCCTCTATGAGCATGCACCTACCTAACCTATAACATATACAAATATATGTTGACATGTACCCATTCTATACCCTTCCGGTCCAGCCCCTTTCAGAGAAATCACAGCACTACCACCTGTGAGGCATCCATTCTGTGTACTTTCAGTCGACTCGAGCATTCCACCCAGTACCCCGCTCAACAAACCTCTGGGTAGGGCTGTCTCTTATCACTCTCTTGAGTCAACTCAGAAGTTATACCTCAATCATTCCACCCTGTACCCCCCTCAACAAACCTCTGGGTAGAGCCGTCTGTCTCCTGTCGCTTCCCCTGCCCGCCTGAACCTTTTGCTGCCCGTTCAGCAGCCCCCACCCTTCCGTAACCTGCCCAAGGTCCATCCAAGCGCCCACTATTACGATTGAACCGTCTCCAATCCAAAGCCCATCCACCTGCCCTTCACTACCCACCCCATGACACCCTCCCACCAGCACTTTCCTGCACCTTCCTGCACTTTTCCTGCTCCTTCCTGCTCCTTCCTGCTCCTTCCTGCTCCTTCCTGCTCCTTCCTGCTCCTTCCTGCTCCTTCCTGCTCCTTCCTGCTCCTTCCTGCACCTTACTGCACTCCTGCAATTTCCTGATCTTTCTTCCCCCTCTAAGCATCTTCTGGCCAGTCCAATTTATGTCACCCTCCCACCCACACCACACTTCACCACACTTCCCCACCAATCTAAGCACCGATTTCTTTCCTTCACCACCTATGCATCGTCCTGTGGCTGGCACGACTGCGCCGCAACAGCTCTGCCTTGCACCATCCAAGCGTTTCCCCATCAAGTGACCCCTAGCACTTGGAGAAGCGCCTGTATGGCCCTGTACCCTTCAAGCGTCCTGAGGCTGGCACGACCGCAGCAGCTCCAGCAGCGCTGCTGCCTGGGGGGCGTGAGGGAGGGAGAGCAGCAGCAACAGGGGGATTGGGAGCAGCACCGTGAGGAGAGGACATGTGGGGGGGGGGGGGAGGCACAATTGCAGCAGCTCCAGCAGCGGTGCAGCCTGGGGGACACCTGGGGGGTCTAGGGGAGGGAAGGCAGCAGCAACAGGGGGATTGGGAGCAGCCCAGTAAGGAGAAGACAGGCTAGAGGAATGGGGGGGGGGCACAATTGCAGCAGACTGGGGGGGAATAAGCAGGGGGAATGGAGAGGACTGGTACAGCGAGAAGTAGAAAACGAAGGAGGGAGGAGGGCGGGGGGGGCGAGATAAGGCATGACATCAGCATGACATCAGCAAGACACCAGCAGCTCCAGCAGCGCTGCGGGCTGCGAGGGAGAAGCCGAGCCGTTAGAGAGTCGGCCCAAAAGTCACCTTCACTCAGCAGTCACCACCCTTGCTTGCCATCCACTACTCAACCACCTTCCAATGAGGGCAGCACTCATGCTCTCAGCTGCACTCATGCTCTCAGCTGCACTCAAAACGAGGTTACATTTAAGTCGACTAAAAAAGAAGTTACTTTTGAGTCAACTCAAAACGAGGCTACTTTTGAGTCGACTCAAAACGAGGCTACTTTTGAGTCGACTCAAAACGAGGCTACTTTTGAGTCACAAGTCAGCAGTGATGTAGGCTTGGGGGGCAGAGCAGAGACAGTGGCAGGAACGAAAAGTTTCAGGGTTGGGGACAGGTGCTCTTTCAGGTAGTTTCAGCTGGGAGAATTAAGCTCCGGAGAAGTGAGCTTTGGAGAACCGACGTTGGGAGAACCGAGCTTGCTGCTGTCTACCCGATTTCTCATTAGAGTGTACGCACACAAGAGAGTAGTTAAACTTTGAAAAAAAAGAAAGGCTACAACGATATGAGAGTCGACTCAAAAGCTTTAGCTTTGAAAAAAGAAAGGCTAGAACAGTATGAGCAGCTGCAGCAGTGCCGCAGCACAAGAGAGGAGGAGAGACAGTCACAAATGAGTAAGTTTGAACTATCGCTTAGATTAGGCAGAGATTTCACGGTTTCGCTTGCTCTGCTCATAGCAATAGCACAAGAGAGGAGGGGAGAGAGACAGGGGAGCAGGGGGGAGGGAGGGAGGGGGGCAGGGGAGAAGTGACAGGAACTCGGCCAGGTGGGGAGAGGGGCAGGTGGGGTGGGGGTGGTGGCACTCACACAACAACCCTCACAAGTGCCAACGCGGGTTTAGGGTTTGGGGCACATGAGGCAACGTGGACATTCAGTCAGGCAGTGTGTGATTGGATGCATGCGGCGTACCACCCTCAGTCACACCCTCATTCCCACCTTGGCTTCAGTCTTCCCTGTCCAGACACGAGTCGGCACATACACAGACGCCGATATCCCCCCCCTCGTCGCCCCCAGCCCCAGCAGTGTGCTCACAGCATACAGCGTACGATCCCCCATCCCACCCTCCATCTGACACCCTCATTCTCACCTTAGCTTGAGTTGAGTCTTCCCTGTCCCCACACGAGTCAGCTTTGTTTTGAGTCGACCCAAAACACTATCCCTACCCGAGTCAGCTGTGTTTTGAGTCGACCCAAAACACTATCCCTACCCGAGTCAGCTGTGTTTTGAGTCGACCCAAAACACTATCCCTACCCGAGTCAGCTTTGTTTTGAGTCGACCCAAAACACTATCCCTAACCGAGTCAGCTTTGTTTTGAGTCGACCCAAAACACTATCCCTAACCGAGTCAGCTTTGTTTTGAGTCGACCCAAAACACTATCCCTAACCGAGTCAGCTTTGTTTTGAGTCGACCCAAAACACTATCCCTACCCGAGTCAGCTGTGTTTTGAGTCGACCCAAAACACTATCCCTACCCGAGTCAGCTGTGTTTTGAGTCGACCCAAAACACTATCCCTACCCGAGTCAGCTTTGTTTTGAGTCGACCCAAAACACTATCCCTAACCGAGTCAGCTTTGTTTTGAGTCGACCCAAAACACTATCCCTAACCGAGTCAGCTTTGTTTTGAGTCGACCCAAAACACTATCCCTAACCGAGTCAGCTTTGTTTTGAGTCGACCCAAAACACTATCCCTACCCGAGTCAGCTTTGTTTTGAGTCGACCCAAAACACTATCCCTAACCGAGTCAGCTTTGTTTTGAGTCGACCCAAAACACTATCCCTAACCGAGTCAGCTTTGTTTTGAGTCGACCCAAAACACTATCCCTAACCGAGTCAGCTTTGTTTTGAGTCGACCCAAAACACTATCCCTACCCGAGTCAGCTTTGTTTTGAGTCGACCCAAAACACTATCCCTACCCGAGTCAGCTTTGTTTTGAGTCGACCCAAAACACTATCACTACCCGAGTCAGCTTTGTTTTGAGTCGACCCAAAACACTATCCCTACCCGAGTCAGCTTTGTTTTGAGTCGACCCAAAACACTATCCCTACCCGAGTCAGCTTTGTTTTGAGTCGACCCAAAACACTATCCCTACCCGAGTCAGCTTTGTTTTGAGTCGACCCAAAACACTATCCCTACCCGAGTCAGCTTTGTTTTGAGTCGACCCAAAACACTGTCCCTACCCGAGTCAGCTTTGTTTTGAGTCGACCCAAAACACTATCCCTACCCGAGTCAGCTTTGTTGAGTCGACCCAAAACACTATCACTACCCGAGTCAGCTTTGTTTTGAGTCGACCCAAAACACTATCCCTACCCGAGTCAGCTTTGTTTTGAGTCGACCCAAAACACTATCCCTACCCGAGTCAGCTTTGTTTTGAGTCGACCCAAAACACTATCCCTACCCGAGTCAGCTTTGTTTTGAGTCGACCCAAAACACTGTCCCTACCCGAGTCAGCTTTGTTTTGAGTCGACCCAAAACACTATCCCTACCCGAGTCAGCTTTGTTTTGAGTCGACCCAAAACACTATCCCTACCCGAGTCAGCTTTGTTTTGAGTCGACCCAAAACACTATCCCTACCCGAGTCAGCTTTGTTTTGAGTCGACCCAAAACACTATCCCTACCCGAGTCAGCTTTGTTTTGAGTCGACCCAAAACACTATCCCTACCCGAGTCAGCTTTGTTTTGAGTCGACCCAAAACACTGTCCCTACCCGAGTCAGCTTTGTTTTGAGTCGACCCAAAACACTATCCCTACCCGAGTCAGCTTTGTTTTGAGTCGACCCAAAACACTATCCCTACCCGAGTCAGCTTTGTTTTGAGTCGACCCAAAACACTATCCCTACCCGAGTCAGCTTTGTTTTGAGTCGACCCAAAACACTATCCCTACCCGAGTCAGCTTTGTTTTGAGTCGACCCAAAACACTATCCCTACCCGAGTCAGCTTTGTTTTGAGTCGACCCAAAACACTGTCCCTACCCGAGTCAGCTTTGTTTTGAGTCGACCCAAAACACTATCCCTACCCGAGTCAGCTTTGTTGAGTCGACCCAAAACACTATCACTACCCGAGTCAGCTTTGTTTTGAGTCGACCCAAAACACTATCCCTACCCGAGTCAGCTTTGTTTTGAGTCGACCCAAAACACTATCCCTACCCGAGTCAGCTTTGTTTTGAGTCGACCCAAAACACTATCCCTACCCGAGTCAGCTTTGTTTTGAGTCGACCCAAAACACTGTCCCTACCCAAGTCAGCTTTGTTTTGAGTCGACCCAAAACACTATCCCTACCCGAGTCAGCTTTGTTGAGTCGACCCAAAACACTATCACTACCCGAGTCAGCTTTGTTTTGAGTCGACCCAAAACACTATCCCTACCCGAGTCAGCTTTGTTTTGAGTCGACCCAAAACACTATCCCTACCCGAGTCAGCTTTGTTTTGAGTCGACCCAAAACACTATCCCTACCCGAGTCAGCTTTGTTTTGAGTCGACCCAAAACACTGTCCCTACCCGAGTCAGCTTTGTTTTGAGTCGACCCAAAACACTATCCCTACCCGAGTCAGCTTTGTTTTGAGTCGACCCAAAACACTATCCCTACCCGAGTCAGCTTTGTTTTGAGTCGACCCAAAACACTATCCCTACCCGAGTCAGCTTTGTTTTGAGTCGACCCAAAACACTATCCCTACCCGAGTCAGCTTTGTTTTGAGTCGACCCAAAACACTATCCCTACCCGAGTGAGCTGCTGACTGTCAGCACATCAACAGACGCCGATATCCCCTCCTTGCCGATGGCAACCAGCCACTCCTTGCTGCTGCCCCCCAGTCATAGGTTAAACCCACTATGTTTGGCAGCATACAGCATACCATCGCCCATCCCGCCCTTAGCCACACCCACCGTCGCTCTCACCTTGGCCTGCGTCTTGCCCGTCCCCACGCGAGTCAGCACGTCCACCGAGGCCGAGATCCCCTCCTCGTCGATGGCAACCAGCCACTCCTTGCTGGTCGCCCCCAGCCCCAGCAGCGTGCTCACGGCATACTCCCTCGCGCGCCCCTGCGTACCCCCCTCCACCAGCTCCGCCAGCGCAGGCACCGCCCCTTCCTCCACCAGCACTTCCCTCCCCTCGGGATCCCTCACTAGAGCCGCAAACACCGCCGCTGCCTGCTCTTCTACAATCTCCACCCCTTCACTCAGCAGCTGGCACATGCACCGCACTGCACCGGCCTTGGCCACGCTGGACCGGTTGGGTCGCGCCATGCAGAGCGACACTAGGAGGTTGGCCGCGTCTTTCTTCGCCCGGGTTGGCCCGTCTAGAAGGAGGTCTAGGAGCGGCTGTAACGCGCCTGCTGTTACCACGGCCTCGCGAAACGAATTCGCTTCCGCGGCTGCTCTCGCGCCGCTGTTGATACTGCTGTTGGCGCCAGTGTCTCTCGACAGGAGAAAGAGGGCCGCTGCTGCGTTGGCGCGAGCAGCAGGAGCACCGGCTGACAGCACGTGGACCAGCCCCTCAACCACCCTGCTTCCCGTGGTAACCACGATTCGCATTCGCGCAGACGCTTCGAGCGCGAGATTCAGGAGGGATGTTGCCGCGTGCTCTGCTGTCGCCTCGTCGCCCGACCACAGGAGCTCCACCAACGGGGCCACGCCACCCGCTTCCAGAATCCGCCGCCCGCACGTGAACCCGTGTCGGGTCATGACGCGGAGCAGGGCGGCAGCGGCGGCTTTTTCCTCGGGCGGCCCGTAGCGCATGTGGTTGATTAGATTGTCTATGTCTAGCATTTGGAACTCCTCTGGGGGTTCGGAAGGGGATGGGGAGGGCGGGGCGTGGGAGGAGGCGTAGGAGGGGGTTTTGGAGTGGGAGGGGCGATGGTGGGGGGGAGAGGGGAGAGGGGGGGCGTGGCGGAGGGGGCAAAGGACGCTTGGGAGAGGATCGAGTGATGGGACGAGGGCAGGGGGAGGGACCCGCGGGGGGGAAGAGCCCCCGCAGCAGCAGCAGCAGCAGCAGAAGCAGACGCAGCAGCAGCAGCACCTCCAGCAGCAGCAGCAGGAGGGGGGGAGGAAGCACCGGAGATAGACGAGAAAGAGAAGTTGGTACGGTTAACGGAGGGGGAGGAGGGGTCGTTGGGGTCGAGGGAGCGGGAGGAGGGGAACTGGTAGGGAATCGACGCCCACTGCCCGTCCCCTATGCTGCTGCAGCTACTCAGCCCCCTCTCATGCCCCCCTCCTTCCCCTTCTCCCCCCCCTCCTCCTCCTCCTCCTCCTCCTCCTCCCCTCCCGCCTCCCCCGTCAGCCTCTGACCTCCTTCGACTCCCCTCTCTCTCCCTCGCACTCGCCCCAATCCCCAGCCCATCTCCCCTCTCCATACTCCCTCCCCTGCGCTCCATGCTGTGTTCCCTCGAGGCGTTGTCTTCCCGAGCCAGTAGCCTAGCTATCTCCCGTTCCATCTTCTTCCGGCCCTTGGACACCCGAACCTCCGACTGCCCCGGAAACCGAGGCTTGGGGCTCAGAGGCACGGCAACGGCCGTAGGACCGGGGCTCATAGGCCCGGAAACAGGCCCGGAAGTAGGTTCGGGGGAGCGAGTTGTGGCGGCAGCGAGGGGGCCTGGCCTGGGCCGGACGAACGGGGATGCAGCAGAAGCTGTAGCAGCAGCAGTTGCAGCAGCACTAGCAACAGGAGCAGCAGTAGCAGCGGCAGTAGGAGCAGCTGTAGCAGCAGCTGTAGCAGCGGCAGCAGGAGCAGTGGAGGCAACGGCAGTAGTACCAGCAGCAGTAGAAGCAGCCGCAGGAGAAGCGGTTGCAGCGCCACTGCCACTACCAGCAGCACCAGCAGCACCAGCAGCAAACCTAGAGTGCTTTAAACCAAACCTCAGCCCTGTGCTACCACCAAGCCCACTACCACTGCCCCCTCCCCCTCCCCCTGTTCCCCCTCCCCCTGCTCTCCCCCCTCCGCTCCCCCCTGCTCCTGAACCCACTCCAATTGGCCCCGACATACTCACATCCGCAGCTGTCACTCCCCCACTCCCTCCCCCTCCCCCTCCCCCACCTTCTTTTTGCTTCGGGTTCGGCCAAGCCTGCGTCTTAAATATTGCTGCCTTCATAGCTAGTTTCCCGGGCCAACCCGTTAAAGCCAACCCTCCCCCTCCCCCTCCCAAGCCTCCTCCCAAGCCTCCTGCTGCTAGAAGGTGATCCGGGATTCCGTTCCCGTACCGATTCTCAGCGTCGTCGGCCTCCCGAGCCGCTGTCCGAGCCGCCACGCGAGCTGCGGCAGGCCTGGAGGGAGGTTCGGGGGATGCAGCAGCACCAGCGGACGCGCCAGCGGACGCGCCAGGGGAGGCGCCAGCGGAAACCCTAGCGGTTCTGTCCGTCATTTCCCCCATATCTGCTCCTCCGCCCGCCTGTCCCCCCCTCCCCTCCCCGCCTCCCCTTTCCGCCCCCGCAGCTGTCCCCGCTGCAGTTGTGCGGGCGTCCACGCACGCGTTGCCCCCTCCGCGCGCCTGCCCTTGCCCGGCGGCTGCGCGCATTTGCTGAATTCGCGCTTGGCGCGTCGCGCGCTCGTCAGCCGCCGCGCGTTCCGCCACCCGCCCATCCACCCTCCGCCCTTCCGCGGCCGCCGCCGCGCGTTCCGCCATTACCTGCTCCATCAGCGCGCGCTGCCTCCGCTCCGACTCAACCGCCACCGCCGCCGCGCGCACCGCCGCCGCCGCGTATTCCAGCCTGCGCTGCGCCGCCAGCCCCCCCGCCCCCCCTTCCGCGCCCTTTGCGCCGCCGGCGGAGAACGCGAGCGCAACATCGTCCGCGGAAACCGGATTGGGGAGCGCAACGCGGTTCCGCTTGCACCAATCAGTGATGAGCGCGCGGAGGATCTGATTCGGTATAATCGCACCCGATGGGAGCGGCTGGCGCGTTTTAGGGCACGTCTTGTGGCCGTCCGCGACCCAGCGCTCGATAAAAGCACGCTCGTACGTCTGCCCGGATTCGACTATAACGGGGTCGTACATTATATCGAGCGAGAGCGGGCATATAAACTCCTCAGGCGGCTCCGGCTGATCGCTACTAACGGATGACACGTCATCTGCGCTAAGAACGCCCTCATTATAAGGAGCTTTTTCCGCCCTAGGAATGTGCTCCGTGCTAGGGGCACCCTCTGCGCTGGAAGCGCCTTCCCCGCGAGCCAGCTCCGCGGCGGAATCGGCGGAAGCAGCGGAAACCAGCTCCGCGGAGCCTAGCTGAGTGGATTCGTTACAAGAACTTTCGTTACAGGAGCCTTCATAACCGTCTCTCCCCCCGTTTTCCGCAGCGCTGGATGGCAATTGGCGGGCGGAAAGCGCTTCCTCGTCTCCCGCCGGCGCCGTCAACTCCGCCGGTTCCGCCAATGGCTGCGCCGGTTCCGCCGCTCCGCCATTCCCCGCCGCTGATGGCGCACTGCCGTCGTTAGAATCAACGGCTGCCGATGGACCTGGGGATGCGCTTCTGACTACCTCTACTGGACTCCCTGCTGCTCCGTTTTCAGGCCGCCCTGCGCCTTCTATCGAGGACAAACTGTTACTCGCCGACCCGAGTCGATACGCGTTAGCCTGCCGCTCCAGCTGCCGCCGCATCGCGTTCGCCTGCTCCTCCGAGCCGCGCAGCACGCTAGCCGGCAACACGATATCCTCCATCGACATATTCGCCGAGCCCGAAAATGACGCCGTGAAAGCCGCTCGGGTCTGGCCCGCCCGGCCTTCGGGTTGGTTGCCTTTATCGGGTCGCTCTTTATCGGAGCGATGTCGCCGATCATGATGATGGTCGAAGACGGAGTGGAGGGCTTGCTTGCCAGACGACAAGAAACGACGCAGGCCGCCTCCTCCGTGGCTCTTCGCGTCGCCCTTACTACCACTGCTTCCTACACCGCCGCTTGTCGGGCCGTTGCTGTGATTCGGGTTCCCGCCGCCACCTCCGCCGCCATTACTCCCGAATTTTGTCGCCATGCGATGTGCCAACGAACTATTTCACTATGTACAGACTACGGAAAAAAATTGCTCGATGATTCTTAGTTCGCTGTCTCGCAACGCAAGTCAAGAATAATGACCGCCACATCACCATGCCATAATTTGCCATACTGTGGTTGGGAAGCAAACCAGATGAAGGGCGTGTTCCGGGCTCGGGAAAGCCATCGAGGCTTGCGCTCGGAGCTTCAGTTCGGGGCTTCCGAACCTAGATTCAGGGCAACAATGGTTGAGGAGCTACGATGCCGGGTGGTTTCCGATGAGTTTTATTGGTTGTGACGCTGTGGTTCGCGAACTTTGAGGTTAGGGTGAAGCTTGATCGTCGAACCAAAGCCTTGGCACTTCCAACTTCAGGGCTCTGAGTCTGCCTCGAGGCTTGTCCTGAAGGCAGAACGATCCTGAAGTACAGAGGAGCCTCAACAGCGGAACTCGCCCTCCACGCGGGAATTGGAGGAGACCGAAGATCCCCCATGGTCGGATTACCAAATAACCCATCAGGTTCCAAGGGTAATCATCGCATGCCCAAATCAGTCAATATACACCTGACGTCCAGTGAATCACTTATTCATTAGATGCGACGTGTATATTTACAGGCTCATTGGTTCGAACGCACGGAAAACGGCCCAACCGACACAGATCCAAATATTTGCAACTTTACCACATCTAATGCGGAGGCCTCCAAACGTGCAGACGGGACGTTCTCAAACCTTACACTGTTGCCCGAGAAACGCAAAACAAACAAAAATGGTCACCCGCTTTAGACGGGAAAATGCCAACTAGGTAACCAGACTACCCTATATTGGCCGAGTTCGCCCGTGAAAGATATGTGCTCGACTCTGAAGCACTCGCCTGAAAAACACTTAGACCAGAAAAGGACTTCATGTGTATTTTTACAATGCAAATTGCACCTACAGTTGTCACTGAAACCAACCAATCTCTACTTGAACAGAATGCTTCAGGCAGAGGGGACAAGCTGTTCATTCCCGCAGCTAAGCGTCTGGGCCAAGCGGAGGTTGTGGGTGCTACGGGCAACGGGCAGCTGAGCTGCATGCTATTTGTTGCTGTAACCAAATCGTGGATGCTTGTCAGGTGGTCCCAGGCCTGGTTGTTAGCCTCGGTAATCTCGAAATTTCATGTGCGGGCTCGGTTATGTGGGGAGCTGAACCAGGAAAGAAACCCTGCCCAGAGCCCACGAACGAAACAGCAGATCTAGTGCTGACCGCCGGCAGAGGAGAACGAAATCCAGCGACTGTGACGGTATTTTCCTTGTGTCTCGGTACTGTATCGGAAACGTTTTTCTCCTCCTGGTTTCGGCTCGGCGGAACAGAAAGAAAAGGATGGCAAGCCCAACATGGCTGAACAGTAACCTAACCTGCCTCCCTCGCATTAACGTAGCGCGTTTTACGTAAGACTTAGGCGGGCTGTACGAAGCGTAACTCTATTAAAATGTTTTTTAAGTGTTACTTTCAAAATTGCGTATTGTGAATGCGAAGCTGCTTGTAATGCAATTTTGGCATCGTCAAAGCACGCTATTCGCCCTTCTCCGACTAAGTAATGTGGTTGGAGGTCATTCTTCCTCCACCCACGTCTTTTCATTCTTCACAGCTCAAGTCCAATTCCCGCCCACCCAACCCGTTCCATCTGGCTTCGTGGACTCGTCCCCGGCAACCTGCAGTGCTCTCGTCGTGGATCGTCATCAACATAGGCATAGCCTTTTCAGTGTAGCAATCCAGGTTGATGTACTGATATATTGTACTTGATGCCAGTGAAATGCGAACGATGCCAATTGCACTAAGAAGAAGCAAGCTTTCTCGATAACGGAATATTGGGCCACAACCTAAATGCTTTCCCAACAAAAACAATTATAAGTCAAAATCACACCCTCGACACCTATGGGCTACCTAAAGCTCAATCTTGTTGCATGGAATCATCAGTAATGATGCCTCTGCAAAACAGGAGAAAGGCATATAACGAGAAAAATGGTTAATCAGACCACATGTAATGAGCTACGTTACTCATACAGCTCTCCAAATGCTCTTTAACAATGTATCCTCAAAAGCTTCTCTCTCAGCCTCGTCACACTTGACTCATCAGCGCCTGTGTCTCTCTTCTCAATGCACCATAATCTGCCTCCTGCTGCCAGCATGCCGTCCATCTGACACGTTCTTCTGCACTACCTCTCAACTATCACTAAACCCTTCAACCAAAAACACTACTTCTAGTCCCATCCAATAAATAGTTGCACTCACTCACATTGCCTACACCTCTCCTTTCAAGCCACCAACATCTGCTTCCATCTGTACACAAGCTGTTCAGATGTCCACGATTCTCAGCAGCACCCCTTCCCGACTGCATAGCTCCAAGATACTTCCAGTGCCTGGACTTCTGCTCGTAGAGCTCATATTTTAGGCACCTCAAAAATGGGCTTCTGCTCTCAGAGCTCTGGTTTCTGCCTCCAGCTGCCCACACGTCATCTGAATGTCTGCGTTCTTCTGCACGCCCTCCCAGCAGGGTACCACCCAATCCCCAAATGGAACATACTCACAGTGGGTGCCTGCCTGGGCCTCCGCCTTCAAGCCACCGATTTCTGCCTCCAGCTGCCCGCATGCCGTCTGACTGAAGGTCTGCGTTCCTCTGCACGCCCTACCAGCACAGTAACACCTAAACCCCCAAACACTCACAGCGCCTCGGCCTCCGTTTTCAAACCAGCAATCTCAGCCTCCAGCTGCCAGCATGCCGTCTGAATGTCTGCGTTCTTCTGCACGCCGTCCTTCCACGCCTGCTCTAGCCGCCCCAGCTCCACCGCTGCTGCTTGCTGCGGGCAAAAGGAGGGGGGGGAGGGGGAGGGGGGGGGGGGGGAGGAGGGAATGGCGAAGCAGGGGGACAGTTTAGAAAAAGATGGCTGGATGCTGGAGTTGCACTCTTTCCTTCCACGCCTGCTCTAGCCAGCCCAGCTCCACAGTTGTTGCTTGTTGTGGAAGAAAGAAAGGGGGAAAGAGGCGAGGAAAGCGGGGAAAAGTTTTAGGGTTTAGGGACGAGATTACTATCACAGGGGTACGCGACTCACCCTACACTCTGACACACCTCACCCTACTCCCTGACTCACCCTACACCTTCAACCCTGAGTGAACCTCCCGCTTCCCATCCGCCCTCGCTGTTAAACCCTAGACCCTGACTCGCTCTGAGCCTTGGACCCTAAAACATCCTCACCTGGTTGAGGCGCCTGTCCCATTTGAGCAGCTCGATCTCTCGCTTCCTCTCTCTGCCACCCTGTTAGACCCGAAAACCTGACTCACCCTACCCTACACCTTCGACCCTGAACCTCCCTCACCTGGTTGAGGCGCCTGTCTCGGTTGAGCAGCTCAATCTCTCGCTTCCTCTCCACCACCTCCATTTGTGCCCTTTAAGAAGCAGGAAGACCAAGGAGGGGAGGATGCACCGGAGTGATGGAAAAGAAGAGGAGCTTGGGATGGGACAGTTGAGCGCAGCTCTAAACACCCGAGAGAATGGGGCAAGGACCGGCTCAATTGAATGAGCTAAGTGTCCACCCTCAACCAAGGTGCAAACATTATGCCCAGAAAAAAAAAAAAAAAAAAAAAACTGTACTTTTGCACCTTGCCCTCAACCTAGTGCCCAGCAGGGAAATGTAGATATATATTACAAAAAAAAAGGGCTAACTTGGCTAGGAAGGTTTCTAGATGTTGGTTGTGCACTCTCCATGCGATGCTTATCCACTCCACTGAGTGAAACTAGATCTTTAGTTTTGGGACGTCTCAAAACGCTCTCCATGCATGGCTTTTCAACTGTGTGAAACTAAATCTTCGCCTGGTAGATGAAAGAAGCACTCACTCAGGTAGAAGTCACTTTTTAGAATTAAAAGAGAAAATAAAGAACACTCACTCGGCTAGAAGTTATTTTTAAGAACTCTTTAAAAAAAAGAACAAACACTCACTTGGCTAGAAAGGCCTCTAGATGCTGGTTGTGCACTCTCCATGCGTTGGGGCCAAAGCGAAGCATCAGATCCAGGTTCTCATGCCTGCATGCATGCAACGAGTTTTTAGAAGCTCAAAACTCAAAATTGAGACATCTCCAACGCCAAAGCGAAGCATCAGGTCCAAGTTCTCAAGCCTGCATGCCACGCCACAACCAACGCCGCAGCAACCATGCACGGATGCAGCCACCATGCACGGATGCAGCCACCATGCACGGATGCAGCAACCATGCACGGATGCAGCAACCATGCACGGATGCAGCCACCATGCACGGATGCATTTATTCATGAGGCGCCTCACAACCCACCCCACCCACACCTCACACCTCACCCCCCCAAACACCCTGTCAGCCACCACCTTACACCCCCTCTCCCCCACCCCTGCCACCACCTTCCCCCCTCTCTCTCACTCACCGCGTGTTATGCTGCTGCAGCTGCACCGGAGCAGCCGTCACTGCGCCTTTCACACCCTCGCCTTTCACACCCTCGCCTTTCACACCCTCGCCTTTCACACCCTCGCCTTTCCCACCCTCGCCTTTCACACCCTCGCCTATCACACCCTCGCCTTTCATACCCTCCAATTCACACCCTCGCCTTTCACACCCTCGCCTTTCATACCCTCGCCTTTCATACCCTCGCCTTCACCCGCTCGGGTCCTCTGCCCCTCGCCCCCCCCCCCTGGCTGTCCCACTCCCTTTCCTCACCTCGTGTCCTGCAGCTGTACCACAGCAGCTTTAACTGTCCCCCCTCCCTCAGTTGGTTTCTTCCACCAGCCCAGCCAGCCCAGATGCCCACCTCCCTCTCATCCCTCTCTCTCACCTCTCACCCCTCTCTCTCACCTCTCACCCCTCTCTCTCACCTCGCACTCACCTCGCGTCCTGCTGCTCCTGCTGCGCCATAGCGGCCTTTACTGTCCCCCCTCCCTGAGTTGAAGTCCTCCGCCCAGATGCCCACCTCCCTCTCACCCCTCTCTCTCATCTCGTGTCCTGCTGCTGCTGAAGCTGCGCCATAGTGGCCTTTACTGCTCCCTTCCACTGCTTTCCGCGCCCCTCCCCACCCCTCGCTCCTGCTACTTCTTCCGCACCTGCACTCTTCCCTTCTCCCTTCCTCACCTTCACTTCACCCCTGCCTGCCACCATCTTACATCCCCGCTCCCTCACCTTGCATCCTGGTGCTGCAGGTGCACCATGGCAGCCTTAACTGCTCCTTTCCACGCATTTGGGTCCTCCGCCCCTCGCCCTCCCGGTGCTTTCCCCGCGCTCTCATACCGCCCTGTGTCAACTGCCAGAGTAGGAGGCCTGCCAGCCCTTACTCTCTCGCATTCTCGGGCGAACATCGGGACGAGCTGGGGAAGCACGGGGTAGGTACGGGTGGCAGGGGGGGGAGGAGGAGGGGGGGGGGGGCGGCGGGGGAAGAGAGGTAAGACTTTCCCCGTGCTCTCATACCCAACCGCCAGGGTTGGGGGCCGACCAGCCCTTATTCTCTCGCACTCAGGGCGGAACATGGGGAGAAGAGGGGCTGGGGGAAGAAGGGGTAGGTGGGGGTGGACGGGGGGGGGGGGCAACTCAGTGGGTAACTCAGCGAGTATATCTGTAGGGTTGCGACCTACAGCATAGGTTAACGAAATAGTAACCTGTAACATTGTTACCTCGGTTCGCAGCTCCGGCACAGGGGGAAGTTCCGCGAGTATATTCGCGAGTAAAACCTTGTAGCGAACCTCGCTTCGCGCCTTAGGCATCCGTTCGTATGTCCGCACGCGGTGACTTTTGAGTCGACTCAAAAGGCATCCGTTCGTATGTCTGCACGCGTGCGCCCGACGCCATTCACTACCGGAAGAGCTACCTAGCGTAGCAACCATGCAAGGATGCAACCGTGCGCACGCGTAGCGTATTTACCTAGTTTTGAGGCGCCTCAAAACTAAATTTTCCTCGGTTCTCAGCTCCGGAACAGGGGGGAGCTCGGATAGTATATCGGCGGGCGTGCGCGTGCTGCGGCGCATCTCCTCCTGCACGAGGCGGTTAACCTCCCTCGGGTTACCAGGCACGATTCGTCAGGTTACAGTTACCATGCGTGAGGAGTCTATTTTTGAGGCGCCTCAAAAATCGATTCGTCAGGTTACAGTTACCTCAGTCCTCAGCTCCGGCACAGGGGGGAGCTCCGCGAGTATGTCCGCGGGCGTGCGCGTGCTGCGCCGCATCTCCTCCTGCACGAGGCGGTTCACCTCTGCGCGCACCGCGGGGTCCTCGTACTCCTTGTCCACGTACGGCAGCGCGTCCACCTGCGCCTCGAACTCCGCCGCCTTCGACCGCCGCCACTCGCGCCGCTCCTGCGCGTCGCGGCTTTCTAGGAGCAGCGTAGGCCCCGCTGCTGCCATGGGAGGGAGTAGCTAATTACTTGTAGGACTCTAAAGAGGAGTATGAGGTCAAGAGTCGACTCAAAAGTCAGCTCGCGGCCCTGTAGGAGAAGCGTGGGCCCGGCTGCTGTAATGGGAGGGAATAGGTAGTTACCAGAGGTGCCTCCTTCGATATCTATGGATTTAAAATTCTAAGTCGTAGGGTCTCGGCGGACGGGAACTGAGATCAGTACAGCGGTCCAGCCTAGGAATGAGGAGCAGTGGGTATGGCGGGTGGAGTGCTTGGTTGGAAGCGTTATTGATCCGCGCGCCGATTCAATTACTTCGGGGTTAAAGCATACATAATTGCTAAAACAAATAAAAATGTCATCTCAAGAATGTAAGGATAATTAGCAAATCCCACTGACCTCATCGAATTAGCTGCTCGAATCAGAGCCTCACACGAAATCAAGTTCTTCCCTGACCTTCCCATCCTCTCTCCTTCCCGAGAATCTCAAAAGCTCCCTTGCTTTCCAATCGAAACCCTACCGACTTGACATGAATGACCCTCATTCATTCTATCTTTGCTGAGCTCATTTCTGCTTCACGTTCACCAAAAGCTGATGCCATCTTCCTGCTCCAAGTCAGTCCAAAACACCGCCGCCTCATACCCGCACATCCTGTTTCAAGGCACCTGCACTCCCAGCTCTGCCCCCCTCTGGTCACCTCAGACACCCTGCCTTTGAGTCGACTCAAGCAATATGAAGACACCTCACACTCCCAGCTCGGCTTCCCCAGCTCACACCCTGCCTCAAGCTTCTGCCTCACCCCCTTTCCCCTTCCCACCATCCCCTTTTTCATTCCCCTTGACTTCTTCCTCAACCTCCTTCCCCTCTCCCTCACCCACCTTCCCCTCTCCCTCACCCCCCTTCCCCTCTCCCTCACCCCCCTTCCCCTCTCCCTCACCCCCCTTCCCCTCTCCCTCACCCCCTTCTACCTCTCGCTCACCAGCTTTCCTATCCACTGTAGGCTCTCCCTTTTCGCCACCTCCCCCATGCACCTCCATTTCCTCAATCACCGCAATCTGCTCTCCTCCATTTCCACTTGCCACTACCACCCCACCCTCACCACCCTGCTCCCTTCTCTTTTCTGCATCCCCACCACCACCACACCCCCCTCCGTCAATCTCGCTCGCCCCAGACCCATCCCCAGCACCAGTATCCAATGCGCGGCTCTTGCCTTGAGGCGCCTCACAGCTCGCTCCCTCAACCTTGCTCTCCTCCCCCCCCGCGAACGCAGCCTCAACTTCCGGCGTGCGGCTCTTTCTTTGAGGCGCCTCAGAATTCGCCCCCTCGCCCTTGCTCTCCCCACCGCCATACCCAGCACCAACCTCTGGAGTGCGGCTCTTGCTCTTGGCCCTGCGCAATCTTCGCTGTGCCTCATCCTGCATCGTCTTCAGGTCAGGGGTTCGGCTCCTGCTCTTGCCGCCCTTGTGCCTGCGAGAGATCAAGTCCGGAGTGCGGCTCCGGCTCTTGTGCTTGCGGGAAAGCACGTCGGGCGTGCGGCTCCGGCTCTTGCTCTTGTGCTTATGCTTTTTCTTGTGATCATCGTCACTAGATCTACTGCCACTGCGACCCCTGCTCCTGCTCCTGCTCCTCCCTTTCCCCTTGTCCCTGGCCCTGCCTCTGCTCCTCTCCTGCTTCTTGCCATTATCCTCCTCGTCATCGTCGTCCGAATTGTAGCCATCTTGGGAGGTTGAGCGAGTATTGCGCTTTCCCTTTCCACCATCATCATCCCTGCCAGGAGAAAGGCAAAGATGCATGTCAATGCCATGGGAGAAAGGCGCACAATCGCCATCAATAGGCCATCAACCTTGTGAATGCGGAAAAAAAATAAAGATTTTTTTTCAGCTCCTACGCTGCAAGAAACAAGGCATTGAGGCATGAGCTGCGTGCATGTGCAACATGACATTGCCTTTGAGTCGATCCCAACGTACCTGCTCTGCTCACATGAAAGTGACTCTTGGAATAACAAAGACGTACGTGATTTCTTCCAGGTGAATAACGTACCTCCCAGCATCAGCATCACTGTCCGATGGGGACGATCTTCTCTTTCGTCGCTTCCGCCTCCGCTTCCTCTCCTTCTCCCTCCCCTCCCCTTCCGAGTCCTCACTCTCCGAGTCACTCCTCCGCTCTCTCCTCTGCTTCTTCCCCCGCCGCTTCTTCCTCCTCCGCCTCCTCTCCTCCCTCTCTGACTCGGACGAGCTGCTGTCACTAGACCCCACATCAGACGAACGCAAGTCATCATCGTCAGACTCGGATCCAGACCCAGGCTCAGACGACGACGACGACGAAGAATCGCCTTTTCGCGAGCGGTGCTTCCGGCTCTTCCTCTTCTTTCGCCGTCGCTTCTCCTTTTCTTTCGCCTTCTTCGCCTGCCGTTTCGCCGCGTCTTCGTCAGCGGCCTGCATGGCCACCTGCTCGAGCTTCTTCGCCCACTCGCTGCTCATGCCACCGCTCCGCATCTCCGCGCGCTTCTTTTTCTTCTCAACCATCTCGAGGAACTTCTTCTTATCCATTGCGGAGCGGTGTAATTTGAAAATGTCCCACGAGTGGATGAAACGCGACGCCTTAAAACGCGGATTGAAGAAATCGAGAACGATAGGCTGACGAGGGTTGACGGCCGATTTATGAACGGCTTTTGTTGATCGTGCCGACGCGAGGAGACAGCTGGATGGTTGAAGCCTAACGGGCCATTTTCCGCTGACGGTAAAGCGGTGAAGATGATAATCTCCGGCGACGGTAACGTAGCGAGGCTATTAATGTCTGGCATGTTGGTATAGTGTTTGGGAAGAAGGGGTCTCACAAAGGGGAACAGGAGAACGCAGGAGAAACATCCCGTCAGCCACAATTGCTCTTACAACAATAGCGAGAATATTCAGACGAAGACGGGAAGATTAGCAAACAATGGGTACCTGATGCACGGAGAGTGATGAGTAAGAGAACCACGGAACCCTCCTCTCTGCAGGACGCGTCTGCCGTTAGGCACGCACGCTTCAACCGGGAGTGAGGTCACGAAAACAGCAAGGTTCTGACGAGCGTGGTGGTCGTCTAGACAATAAGGAAGAGGCTTAGGTTAGTATTCCAAAAACACAGAACTTGGTTTGGCTAGGAACCTACTACACGTACTAATCCTGCTGAAACTTGCTTGACAGAAGGTGGAGGCAGCTTAATACGGTGAAGAGGGTACATACAGTGGTTTAACACGGTGGTAACTAGCTGGCCTTCTGGCCTCGCGACACAAGATTTCAACCAAGCCTGAAGAATTTCACCGAGCAACTAGGATCACCAACCAACCTAGCTGCCGTTATTGTCAGAGCTTGTCATGGAGGGCACGTTACCGAAGCATGCTAGAAACGAATACGCTTGCTACAATAGTTTTGTTTCAAAGCCACGTTAGACACCATAAAATAGGTTGTTGATTTACAGCCCACAAAAACACCACCTGCGAGCCACTTCAAGCTTAAATTTCTTGAATCCTGCGGGTAGAACATGGTCGATTTAAAGGGAAACAGACAGCTGGAACATCAATGAAAGGCTTTGGAGCATTCAACCTCAAAGATACATGTGGTTCAGATGGTACACCCAGCTCCACGACCGGTTGCATGCAAGGTTCAAGGTTTGTTGCACTGATTACCACTTTAGGGACTCCTTGTTTATTTCAATCACGCCTTTTTTTCGCTGGGGGAGGTTTGTTGAGCCCCCACAGCATACACCAAAACCGCAGGAGTTGCTTACATTGCATTCTAGTCCATTGCATCTTTGGGGATTTTCTCCAGCCGCTTTTTCCTCGCCCTCCTCTCTTGTCGCCGCGCCTCTCTCATCGCCTTCCCCTCCCTCCTCTTCCTCTGCCTCCTCCTAGTCACCACCAGCAGCAACAACACCCCAGCCACCACCCAAGGCACCGCAAGCCATTTCTTGTACCGCCCCAGCCACATCACCCAATCGACTCCTCCCCGTGTGCCCTCTGCTCCCCCTTCCCCAACTCCTGCTCTATCTCCTGCTGAACTGAGATCCCCACCGACCAATGACCGCCTGCCATGTAAGAACCCTCGCATCTGTTGAATCCTGCCGCCTTGTGCCTTGATTCCGCTGCTGCCTTCCAATTTACTCGCCTCCTCTGTACCCGACCCTCCTTGCTGCTCTCTAGCCGACTTCCCTTCCCTTAACTGGCCCTCTCCTTGCTGCTGCTCCTGCTGCCCCTGCTGCTCCTTGCTGCTTCCAATCATCCTCTCCCCCATCCTCTCCCTCTCCCCTTCTGCCATCTCCACCCCCACCACCAGCCCTCTCTCCAGCCCTCCCCTCTCCCTCACCTCCACACTCTCAACCACAAACCTCCCCACTCTTTCCACATCACTCTTTCCCTTCTTACTACTCCCCACTCCCACCTCCTCCACCTCCACCCCTCCTCCAATATCTCTCACACTCGCCCACACATCCGCTCGAAGCTCCCTCACACCCCCCTCCCCGCTCCCCGTCTCGATATAAGACGCTCCAGTTAAATCCATAACTCCGACGTCTTTCTCACCCGAACCAGGGCACCCAAGCTTCAGCCGGTGGTACTCTCTTAAAGCCCTGTTGAGCACCGCAATGCACTCAATCACTATGAAATCCTTCCTCCTCTCCTCCACCAGCTCCCTTAGTTTCTTCTCCGCATCCTCCCCTCCTCCTCCCATGAAACTCGTGATAAAACCGCCAATCCCCCCCTTACCACCACCACCAGCACCAGCAGCAGAACCAATACCGCCAGCACCACCAGCAGAAACTGAACCAATCGTGGGTAACGGGGGGAGATCCGTAACATCAGGAGGGTCGGGGAAGTGCAAACCGCAGGTGAGAGCGAGGGGGGTGTCTCGGAAGCGCGACTTGTCCCACATGTACTCGAGCACCTTCACCTCGAGCCCGTAGTGGAAGAGACGCGGGTCCACGTTGGGCACGGGGGGGTAGCCAGGGTACAGCATGATGTTGTCGATCACCACGTGGTGCAGGTTGGCCTGAGGGGAAGGGACAGAGAGGGGACGGAGAGGCATGAGAAGAACACAACACACGAGACCTGTGAGTCGACCCAACATCACCTGGGCTCCACTAAGGGGGCAAAACGGAGAGAAGGAAAGGAGAGAACAGAGAAAAGGTAACAAGAGGGTGAAGAAGGAAGAGGGAACAGGTTATGCTAGACTAAGGAAGAGGGACCAGGTTATGTTAGACTAAGGAAGAGGGAAAGGGTAAGACTTATAGAGCATGGCCTGTCTCCTCTAGCTACGCATAGAGCCTCCCCTGTCTACCCATAGAGCTTTACTTTATCACATTCCCGTGCCACTCACATCCGACGTCCCGAAAGAGTAGCCACACATCTCGCTGGTCCACCCATCCCTGCCTGCCCGTACACGTCCCATGGCAGCACTAACGGTATCCTGCCTTCCGCTCCTGTCCACTCATACAGCCTTATCTAATCTGTGGTGCAAAGCGCAACTCACATCAGAGGCCCCGAACGAGTAGCCGTACATCTCGCTGATCCACCCCTGCCCGTACACATCCCCTGTGATGTTGGTGGCGTAGTGCGCCTTGTCGGCACGCACCTATCAGGAGAAAGGGAGGGGGGAAGAAAGGGAGGGGGAAACAAAGGGAGGAAGGAACAAAGGGAGGGGGGAACAGAGGGAAGGGGGAACAAAGGGAGGGGGGAACAAAGGGAGGGGGGGACAAAGGGAGGGGGGAACAAAGGGAGGGGGGGACAAAGGGAGGGGGGAACAAAGGGAGGGAGAAACAAAGGGAGGGGGGAGCAAAGGGAGGGGGGAACAAAGGGAGGGGGGAACAAAGGGAGGGGGGGACAAAGGGAGGGGGGGACGAGTTGATGAGGAAAGGAAGAGTGATGTTGGTGGCGTAGTGGGCCTTACCGGCGTGCACCTAGCAGGGTTGACAGGGGGCCAGGAGAGGGTGGAATGACCAAAGAGGCCAGGAGAGGGTGGAATGAACAAAGAGACAAGGGAGAAATGTTGTTGGTGGCGTAGTGGGCCTTGTCCCCTCGCTCCTTGTCCCCTCGCTCCTTGTCCCCTCGCTCCTCCTAATCTCTCCCCTACCTCCTCCTAATCTCTCTCTCCCCTACCTCCTCCTAATCTCTCCCCTACCTCCTCCTAATCTCTCCCCTACGTTCTAATCTCTCCCCTACCTCCTCTCATCACGCACCTCCTCTCATCACGCACCTCCTCTCATCACGCACCTCCTCTCATCACACACCTCCTCTCATCACGCACCTCCTCTCATCACACACCTCCTCTCATCACGCACCTCCTCTCATCACGCACCTCCTCTCATCATGCACCTCCTTTCATCACGCACCTCCTCTGTCTTGGCGATCCATCTTGGGGCCAGCAGGCGCAGGTCGTCGATGTGGATGGCGATGTATCCCCCCACCTTGTCACAGTACTTGGGGCGCTTCATGTGTAATGAGCCGAGGATGTTGTCGCACCCTATCAGGTAGCTGGGAGGGGGGGGAGGAGGAGAGGGGGAGAGGGGAAGAGGGGGGAAAGGGGTTTAACGTGGATGGCGATGTAACCTCCGACCTTGTCACAGTACTTGGGGCGCTTCATGTGTAATGAGCCGAGGATGTTGTCGCACCCTATCAGGTAGCTGGGAGCAAGCGGGGAGAGGGGGGGAGGGGAGAGAGAGGGGGAGAGGGGGAGGGGAGAGGGGGAGGGGGAGCGAGGGAAATAGGGGTTTTACGGATGGCGATGTATAAAACCCCAGCCTTGTTGCAGCACTTGGGCCGCTTCATGAGCAGCAAACCCAAGATGTTGTCACACCCTATCCGGTACCTGGAAGCAAGACAGGGGGGAGAAGGGGGGAAGGAAAAGAAGGAAGAATGTGCGATGAACCCAAGGCATTATTGCACGAGGTGACTTTTGAGTCGACTCAAGGTGCCTTTTGAGTCGACTCAAAAGTCACCTAGAAAAAAAAGGAACAATGTGCGATGAGCCCAAGGCTTTATTGCACGCTGTCAGGTAGCCGATAGGGAAAGGTACACCAGGCAAATTGCAAGAACCATTACATTCTCAAATTGCATACCCTCTCTCCTCTCACCCATATTCGTCAGACACCAGGCCAGGCAGCCTCGCTTGGCCCCTAGCTCCCTTACTCCCTGCCTTAACTCCTCGTTTGCTGAATCTCTCTCCTTTCTCACTCAGCCTCACCCATAGTCAGCAGACACCGGGCAGCCTCGCACGGTGCCTCACTCACTCACTCACTCACTCACTCTCCCCATCTCCCACTCTCCCGGGCTGTCAGGTTCGGATCCCGAGCCGGGTCGACAGGTATGGCCGGTGTTCCCTTCACTCATTCTTCTTCTCGCTCTTTTCACTCACGCTCATACACTCTCTCCCCTCTCACCCATAGTCGGCAGAAACCGGGCGGCCTCGCTCGGCGCCTAGCTCCCAGGGCATGATGGGGCGGCGGAGAATCTGATCCGCGTCCAGGATGAGGACAAAATCCACTGCTTGCGCATCGGGGCTGTTGTCAAGCCAGTACTTGACCCCAACTGGCTTGTTGATGGCGGAATACCTGGGGGAGGAGGGGAGGGGGGCGGGAAGAGCAAGAGGGAAAATGTGCCGAGGAAGGCGCTTCCTCCTAGGAGCTTAATCCACCTCTTGCGCATTGGGGCTGTTGTCAAGCCAGTACTTGACCCCTCCTGGCTTGTTGATCGCGGGATTCCAAAAATAGAAGGGTGGTGCGGGCGGAAAGGGGGTGGGGGAAGACGAGAAAACACAGGAGGGCCAGGAGTGAGTTGGATGCACTTGGTCCAGCCCCATGATAGAGCGATCTTGTGAAAGCCGCCCGCCCGCACGCACGCACACGCATGCACGCACGCACACACACACGCATGCACGCACACACACACACACCCACACACACACAAACACACCCACACACACACGCACAAGTGCCAACGAATTCCCTTTCCAGCACCTCACACTCACCGGTCGCCATTGTGGGGTTCGTGGTCCCAACCAATTCAGCACCACCATCGTTGGCGGCAGGTCCAGCCCTCTATAATCCTTAAGCAGAAACATCTTATAGGCAACTCAACACACTCACCAGTCCCCGATGATAGAGTGTGCCACCCATGAGGCCCTCACAGTCCCCAATGATAGAGTGTGCCACCCATGAGGCCCTCACAGTCCCCAATGATAGAGTGTGCCACCCATGAGGCCCTCACAGTCCCCAATGATAGAGTGTGCCACCCACAAGCCCCTCACACCCACCAGTCGCCGTTGTGGGGGTCGTGATCCCAATTGGGCACCACCATATTCGGCGCCAGGTCCAGCCCTCGATACTCCTTGAGCTGAAACACCTTATAGGAAACTTAACACACTCACCAGCCACCGCTGATAGAGTGTGCCAACCCAAGCCCCTCACACCCACCAGTCACCGTTGTGGGGGTCGTGATCCCAATTGGGTACCACCATAGTCGGCGCCAGGTCCAGCCCTCTATACTCCTTAAGCATATCCTCGTTACAAGCCAGCAGCCGCACAAGTTTTCCGGGCTGCCCGCTGCGCCGAAAGCTGTACATCAGCCCGAGCGTCTGCCAATCGAAGTACGCCGTGCACTCGCCCGAGAAAAGCGTAACCATTCTCGGCGTTCCCTTCACATGAAACGGCTGCCACAGGTTCGGATCCCGAGCCGGATCGACAGGTAGGTCCGGACCCAGGTTCGGCAGCGGGAGAGGGAGGGGAGGAGGGGAGTCGAGCTCGAGGGTCGGGAGGAGGGAGGGGTCTTGGAAGGTGGAGGGGAGGAGGGAGTGTGTTTTTTTTCGCCAGTTCTCCATCCATTGGTGCAGCTTCTCACGGGTGTTTGCAAGAGGAGGAGACTTGTCATCTCCAATTCCGCCTCTTCCCCTGTTACCGCCTTTGGTGCCCGCTCTCTGCTGCTCCGTGCTCTCCCCGTGTTGCCTTTGGCCCTTCCCTTGTTGCCTTTGGCCCTCCTCTTGTTCGCCTTTCCCCTCGCCGTTCCCCCTTCCGCCCCCTCCTTGCAACGCTGGTGCTCCGAGACTCCCTTCCTTGCCCTCATCCCCATCGTCACCCCAGAATCCCACCCCTGTCTCCTTCTCCACGTCCCCCACTACCCGCTCCTCTGTACTCTCTTGCACCTCCTCTGCTGCCCTCCCTTCACCCCCTTCCCCTTCCACCCCACTCCGCCCCTTCCCACTCCCTCCCTTCCCACTCTCTCCCTTTCCACTCTTCCGCTCTCCACTATCACCCATTCCCCTCTCCCCCACCTGGCTTGGAGCCAAGCGACCTTTGCTGCTCACAAGCTCTCCCCCCTCTACCCTCTTGCCGTCCCCTTCTGCCTTCACTCCCCTTGACATTCCCCTGCTAACAGCATCACCAACAGTAGCGCTGCTGGTGCTGGTGCTGCTGGTGCGGCTGCCGCTGGGGATACTGTTATCGCCAACATTACTCATTCCTCTCTGCCCCCCTCTTAGCATGCCACCCTTGGCCTTCTGGGAGGAGGAGGAGCGGGTGGAAGCTGCAGGCCCCAGCGAGGACTGGATGCTGGCGCTGGAGGGGGGATGTGGGACAGGGGCAGGGGGAATCAGGGGGAGGAGAAAATTGGGAAGGCATAGGGGGCGAAGGCTGGGCCCCAGTGGGATGTTCCAAGTCCAAGCCTTCGGGGGCATGGAGGGGTGAAAGCTGCAGGCCCCAGAGAGGTTTGGATGCTGGCGCTGGAGGGGTGGAAGGGGAGGGGAGGAGGGGAATCAGGGGAAGAGAAAAGTGGAAGGCACACGGGGCGAAGGCTGGGCCCCAGTGGGATGTTCCAAGTCTGAGCCTTCGTGGAGGTGGAGGGGGTGAAATCTGCAGGCCCCAGAAAGGATTGGATGCTGGCGCTGGAGGGGGGATGTGGGGATTGGGAAGAGAGGAAGGACAGGGGTGGAGTGGAGAGGGGAAGTATGGATGAGAAAGGCCAACATCATTTGGCTCCAGGGGGGTGGAAGGGGTAAGGTTGCAGGTCCTAATAAAGACTGGAAGTTGGAGAGGGGAAGAGGCGGGGGAGAGGAGGGAGGAAGGGGGAAGAGGACGGAGGCAGGGGGAAGAGGACGGAGGAAGGAGGGGGGAGGGAAGAAGGGGGAAGAGAAGGGAGGAAGGGGAGAGGAGGAGGAGGGGGGGAGGGGGGGGAGGGGGGAGAAGGGAGAGGAAGGAGGCATCGATAGATAGAGTGCATTCACGAAGTGCATATGTAGAAGGGAGAGGAAGAGAGAGGTGGAGAGAGGTAGGCGGACTTACAGGAGGAAGGAGCGGTAGGGGGAGGTGGTTGGATTGGAGCAGCCGTGGGTGGCGTGGTGAGTGATGACCTCTCACATGCCTTAACCTGTCTGACACCTCTGTTACAAGAGGGCAGGCGTGAAGAACGACAGGAGGCTTACAGGAGGAAGGAGCGGTAGGGGGAGGGGGCTGGATTGGGGCAGCCGTGGGTGGCGTGATGAATGATAAGGCCCTCGTTGATTGTGTTGATACAATCTATACTCAATAGAAGGCCCCGCTTCTTCTCTTTGTTGAGCTCAATGATCTAGAGAGGAGGGGAAATCAACAGGAAGGGGCAAAATAGATCAGTCATGATGGTATTATCAAGAACACAATGGTCTAAACAATGATCTAACAATGGTCTAAACAATGATCTCACAATGGTCTAAACAAGAACACAAGCACAACCCCATTACTGAAAAACACTGAAAAACGCTCGAGAGAACCGGATGAGCCCTGATAATCACACATCAAGCTTGTGGGAAAAGGTGTGCTTTTGAGACGACTCCAAACCAAACCTGATGAGCACTGATAACGGATTCGCCTTCTGCCACACATCAAGCTTATTTGTGGGAAAAGGTGAATCCATTTGACGTTAGCCGTGATAGAGATGAGCAGCAGTGTAAGTGAGTCTTTTAGCAAAAAGATTGACACTTTAGAGGAACCTCAAAACAACACATTGAGCTTGTTTTTGGAAAAGGGTGAATCCATCTGAAGACCTTGATGAGTCCAGGTCCGTCTCCTTGCTTTGACATCTTTCCACGAAGTAACAGACGGTAAAAGCCCCTCTTCGCCCGCCTCCTATGTGACTGTCACTGGGGGTGTAGTACGGGTGTTTGTGAATCGCGCGTCCCATAAAGTATGGTCACTCCTCGCATTCTAAATCGTCCAAGGAGTCCGCTGCACTCGTCATGATCCTACCCGCCCCATGCTCCGATTTGCCATAGCTCCAGTCGCCAACTGAGTCTGAGAGTTGCCTGTCTAATTCATACACCTGTCTTCGGTAAATTCTTAAGAACTCTCAAAGACTCCTCCATGCAGGTGATTGCAGTGGCTTACCTCCGAGGTAATAGGTGGGGCGTCGAACGGTCAGTTGCGCTCGTTCACAATCCCATCCGCCCTCTGGGGTGCTCTCCGCCTTGCCAGAGCACCAGCTACCCACTGGGAGCGTCACACACCACCGTTTTCAATTTGTCCCGTACCTCCGAGGGGAATGGCGGGGCATCAAAGAGCCAGTTGCACTCGTTCACAATCCTGTCCCCCCTGTGTTCCAACTTGCCAGAGCTCCAGCGAGCCACTGGTCGTGCATTCAGCCCTCACATGCACCCCACCTCAGAGGGAAATGACGGGGCATCGAACAGCCGGTTGCACTCGTTCACGATCCGGTCCGCCCTGTGTCTGGTCCAACTTGCCAAGGCTCCGGTTAGTCACTGGTCGTGCATTCAGCCCTCACATGCACCCCACCTCAGAGGGGAAGGGCGGAGCGTCGAACAGCCGGTTGCACTCGTTCACGATCCGGTCCGCCCGGTGCTCCGACTTGCCAAAGCTCCAGTTGCCCACAGAGAATTTCAGCCCGTAGTGCAGCAGGCGGGGCTCCACTCCCTTCAAGGGGATGTACCCCGGGTAGAGCATGGTTGTCTGATCGACTTGGTGGTGCAAGCCGGCCTGGGAAGCAAGCAGTAGACAGATGGAAGAATGGATAGCGCGAGTAGAGAATAATTTAGCTCTGACTTGCCAAAGCTCCAGTTGCCCACGGCGAATTTCAGCCCGTAGTGCAGCAGGCGGGCTCCACGCCTTTTGCCAGGACGTAGCCCGGGTAGATCGTTGTGGTGAGGTCAAATAAGCGAGTAGATGGGGAGGGAGACGAGACGGCATCCACCCAGCCTGGGCAGCCTGGGCAGATCATTGTGGTGAGGTAAACTTGGTGGTGTGAACCAGCCTGTCAACAATGATTAGGAGAGTAGTGTATGGGGGAGAAAGGTAATGGGATAAGGAGCCGCCGTGCCGAAGCTCCAAAGCTCCAGTCGCCACGGAGAATCTCAGCCCGTAGTGAAGCAGGTGGGGCTCCACTCCCTTCAAGGGGACGTAGCCTGGGTGAATCAGTGTGATTAGATCCACCTGGTGGTGCAGGTGTATTTTGAGTCGGCTCAGAACCATCCATAGCCAGCCATGCCACGCACTCACATCAGCGGCGCCGAACGAGTAGCCGTACATCTCGCTGATCCATCCAGACGAGTAAACGTCTCCTGTGATGTTCCGCGCATACTGCGCCTTGTCTGCTCGCACCTGGTAACATTGATCAAGGGCATGGAGGGCGAGGGGGGAATGTATGACCAAGGGCGGGTGAGAGGGGGGGGGTGGGAGAGGAAGGAGGAAGCGTGATGTTCCGCACATTGTGTGGCTTGTCTGCGCGCACCTGCCAGTAGTCATTATAGGTAAACGGAGCACGAGGAAAGGATGACAGAGAGAACAGAGGCATGGCATGTGATGGAGGGGAAGAGAGCTTAATGGTCCTCGCACAGTGTGCCTTGTCGGCATGCGCCAGTCCGACCGATCCGATGGAACACCAAGTAGGTGCCAGGGTTTCAACACGTGGCAGCAACTTAGGATTTGAAACCTGTGGCTGTTGGTAAAAAGTGCTGCGAAAAAATCTTGTGAAAAAGCGGTGGTAATCGGCTTCGGCTTTCGGTCTTCTTCACACATGCGGCAGTCACGAGCCGTAGAGGCGAGTGGAGAACTGGCAAAGGATGAAGGGGATCATGAGGAACATGTGAAGGGGGGGAGGAGAGCGTAACACTCCTTGCATATTGCGCCTTGCCTACGCGCACTAGGAAGTTCCAGCGTCATGCCCATTAGAAAGCTCAGGAGCAAGCTCCTAGAGCTCAGCACAGCCAGCATCCTAGTTTGCCTGTCCACGCGCACCTCCTGCGTCTTGCTGAGCCAGAGCGGGGCGAACCGCCTTAGGTCGTCGATATGCATCACGATAAAGCCACCCACTTTGGGGCACAGCTCGGGGTGTTTAGTGTGCAGCTGGGCCAGAATGTTGTCACAGCCGATCAGGTAGCTGATAGAAGAAGGATGGGGGGGGGAATGTTGGGGTGGGAGGGGGGGTGGGGGACAGGGAAAAGGCGGGCGAACTGCTGCAGATCTTCAATGTGAATGACGATGAAGGCAGCCACTTTGGGGCACAGCTCGGGGTGCTTCGTGTGCAGCTGGGCTAGAATGTTGTCACACCCCATCACGTAGCTGAGAGGGAGGTGTGGAGAAGAGAGTGGTGGGACGAAGTGGGCGATAGATAGAAAGATAGAGGAGCAAGGGGGCGAGGCGCCGCAGGTCGTCAACGTGTGCATGACCACCAAGGGGACCTGCGGGTCTTCTACTCGTCCCCTGCAGGTCGTCGATGTGCACTTAAGGGTCATGTTGACGGTGAATCCGCCCACTTTAGGGCACAGCTCCGGGTGCTACGTGTGCAGCTGGGCTTGGATGCCGTCACACGTAGCACCCGTAGCTGATGAGGGGGGGGGCTTGGAGATGAGATAGCTTGGAGGGGGGTGTGGGCCGCAGAGGCGGGGGAATGGGGGGGAGGGGGGAGCAGACGGAAGGAAGGGGCGTCAATGAAGCTCCTTTGTTACAATGTACCCATAGTATGCATGCCGCCACGTGCTTTCCTTTCTTCGCCTTCACATCCACCTACTGCGCTTCCAAACACACGCCTTGAAAGCGCCCATGCTAGTGGAAATTCGTCACTCACACGTACTCATAGTATGCATGCCGCCACCAGCTTTCCTCTCTCCGTCTTGACACTTCAGGGGGTGATGGGTGGTTTGATGCCCATGTCAGCATCCAGAATCACCACCCACTCCACCTGCTGCACCTCAAAAGCCTAACTAGTGGGGTTTTTTGCTCACACGTACCCATACAAAGCAGCAGTAGGCTTTCCCTTTTCCGCTTACACATCCCAAGGCGTGATGGGCGCTCTGATGACCATATCAGCATCAAGCATCACCACCCACTCCCATAGTATGCAGCCATGGGCTTTCCCTTTTCTACTTTGACATCCCAAGGAGTGATGGGCCCTCTGATGACCATGTCCGCGTCGAGAATGACCACCCACCCACTCCACCTGCTGCACCTCAAAAGCCTAACTAGTGGGGTCTTTCCTCTCACACGTACCCATAGTACACAGCCACAGCCCACAGGCTTTTTCCCCGCCTTGACATTCCAGGGGGTCATGGGCCCTCTGATGACCATGTCCGCGTCGAGAATCCCCACCCACTCCACCTGCTGCACCTCAAAGGCCTAACTAGTGAAGTCTTTCTGCTCACACGCACCCATAGTATGCAGCCACGGGCTTTCCCTTTTCTGCTTTGACATCCCATGGTGTGATGGGCCCTCTGATGACCATGTCGGCGTCGAGAATGACCACCCACTCCACCTGCTGCGCCTGCGGGCTGTTCTGCACCCAGTGAAGTACCCCGTAGGGCTTATTGATGGCTGAATACCTGGATGGGAGAGGAGGGAGAGGGGAGGGCGGGGAGGGAGGGGGAGGAGGGGAGGGAGGGGAGGGAGGGTTTTTTAGGCACCTCAAAAATCGTCTCATTTCACGCAGAGGGAGAGGGGAGGGCGGGGAGGGAGGGGGGGGAGGGGCGCTCTGATGACCATCTCCCTATCCAGAATCACCACCCACTCCACCTGCTGCACCTGCGGGTTGTTCTGCATCCAATGCAGCACACTGTAGGGCTTATGGCTGAATACCTGGAGGAAAGTGAGGGAGAGGGGAAGGAGGGGAGGGGAGGGAGTGGCGCTAATTTAGCACCACCCACTCTACCTGCTGCGTCAGCGGGAAGCGCAACACCCAGTGCAGTACCCCTTAGGGCTCATTGATTGTTTTGAGGCGCCTCAAGACTGGCCTCGCCCCACACAGCCTACCAGTCGCCAGCATGGACGGCCATAGACAGCACGGTGTGCATGGGCACACGGCCTGTGCTGCGTTCTGAGGCGACGCAAATCACAAACAGTAAAAACTACTGTATACTAGCACTTGTTAGCAGAAACTAAAAAGTTCCCAATTCTCTTGGGCAGCCTCCACGCGATAATGGCTCTCCTTGAAGCGAAATTGTTGTGTGACATTGTAACGAGGTGACTTTTGAGTCGACTCAAAAGAGGTGACTTTTGAGTCGAGGTGACTTTTGAGTCGACTCAAAAGTCACCTCATAGACAGCACGGTGTGCATGGGCACACGGCCTGTGCTGCGTTCTGAGGCGACGCAAATCACAAGTCAAGGAGAAACGGCAACAAGCAGGCATACAAAAGGGGCCTACCACTTGCCGGTCTTGAAGTTGTCGGTCACAGAGGGCACGGCGTGCGTGGGAGCATGGCCCATGTTGGGGTAAACCCTCAGCTGCTGTGGTTTGAGGTGACTCACCCTCAAAGCAGAGGGCGCGGAGAGGGACAACAAGCAGGCATGTACATACGGCCTACCACTCGCCGGTCTTGGGGTTGACGGTCATCGACGGCACAGTGTGCGTGGGAGCGAGGTCCATGTTGGGGTAAGTGCTCAGCTGCTCCTCGGTGCAGCTCAGAAGCCGAGTGATGGGGCCCGGCTGCCTGCTGCGCCTGGAGTGGGGGGAAGCAGGGGAGGGGCACCCACAGCGACGAAGGGGGGAATGCATGAGATGATGGCGGTGCGCGTGGGAGCGAGGGCCCTGTTGGGGTGACCCCTCAGCTGCTCCGCTGTGCAGCTGAGGAGGCGAGTGATGGGGCCCGGCTGCCTGCTGCGCCTGGAGTGGGGGGAAGCAGGGGAGGGGCACCCACAGCGATGGAGGGGGGAATGCATGAGATGATGGCGGTGCGCGTGGGAGCGAGGGCCCTGTTGGGGTGACCCCTCAGCTTCTCCGCTGTGCAGCTGAGGAGGCGAGTGATGGGGCCCGGCTGCCTGCTGCGCCTGGAGCAAGAGGGAGGGCACAAGATATAACGGACATACATACATGGGACGACGGTGACTTTTGAGTCAACTCAAAAGTCATCTGGAACAAGAGGGAGGGCACAGGATATAACGGATCCGAAATACATGGGATGACGGTGTAGCTGTATATGAGCCACCCTCCACCTGTGGCTGCGCATGAGCTTTCCCGGCCCAAATCTCTTCCCTCTCCCCCCTCCCCCACCTGTAGCTGTGCATGAGGCCCACCTGTAGCTGTGAATGAGCCCCACCTGTAGCTGTAAATGAGCCCCACCTGTAGCTGTAAATGAGCCCCACCTGTAGCTGTAAAGGAGCCCCACCTGTAGCTGTAAATGGGCCCCACCTGTAGCTGTAAATGGGCCAACCCTGTAGCCTTAAATGAGCCCCACCTGTGGCTGTAAATGAGCCCCACCTGTAGCTGTGCATGAGCCCCACCTGTAGCTGTGCATGAGCCCCACCTGTAGCTGTGCACGAGCTCCACCTATAGCTGTGCATGAGTCCCAGCCCTTCCCCTTCCTCTCCCCCCTCTCTCCCCCCTCCCTTCGCCCCCCCACCCACAACACCCCCTACCTGTAGCTGTGCATGAGCCCCACGGTCTGCCAGTCGAAGTAGGGCCCGCATTCCACGGAGAACAGGGTAACCATGCGCGGGTGCTTGCCGCTTTCAAGAGGATTCTCCTTGAAACTCCACGCCTCCGCCATCAGTTGAACGCCACCCCCGCCATAGGCACGAACGGATGACGGCTTATCAGAATGTGACAGCAACGAAGGGGCTTTCAGGTGAGTGAAAGAACGGAATCCCGAGGCGGTTTTTGAGGTCCAGAGATTCAGTTGCAGGCGGGGCGAGGATGATATAACGGAGATGACTATAACGAGGGATGTGAGTCGAGAGACTGCTGATTTGGCGGTTGAGACAACAGGAGAGGAAATGGTGGGCAAGCGCAGGGAGGTCGGGATGGATGTGTAGGTGAATCGACGGGCCATGGTGATGAGACGCTCTCGAGACGCTCTCGACGCTGCAGGTGTGAAATTAGTTTAGTTTTGAGACTCCTCAAAACTAGACTAGTATCGCATGGATGGGGAGGAGAATCCACGCGACATGGTGATGAGACGCCTTCGACGCTGCGGAGGACTCTGAGGCGAGTTGGTCGCCGACTCGGACGTGCTGAAGTACAACGAGATTTCGGGCGTTCTAAACGGGATTCTGGATGCGCTGCACGGAACTCTGGATGCGGTGCGCGGAACTCTGGATGCGCTGCGCGGAACTCTTGATGCGCTGCGCGGGATTCTGAACGCTACGCTATGGAAGTGATCGATTTCACACTGACAATGCGAATCAAATCAACGACGTGGAAAAACGAGCGCAAGGCGGCTTCTCGTCTGGAGGATTGCGGTGGATCATGGCGTCTGGTACGCCAACACGCCGACGCTTCTGAAGGCTACGCCGCCGGTTGTACGGCTGCGTGGATTTACCTGTGTGGATTTCCCCTGAAGCCTGAGCTCGCATAGCATCCTGATGAATCGTGAATCTAACGCTGAATCTCGGTGCCTGAATCGGGAAACGAGACTGCTGTCAATGACATGTTGACGGCTACACGAATGACCAGGGGTGGCCTGAGTTAGCGAAAAGGTGGAAGAAAAAGTGATTGATCAGTGTACGGCCGAGAGCGACGGGGCCCAGCCAAGGGGGACTACGAGGAGGAATTAGGAGGGCGTATTCTCTTGTTTCTAGTAGTCATGAAACGAGTCCCGGCAAACGTCCAGGTGCCAAAATCAGATTCCCTGTTGGGGGTATGGTAAAAGCTCGAACGGAGAGTGCTGCTACCCCACTCAGACTAGAAGCAGTGACAGCACGGAAGGGAACGCGAACCCTATTTCCAGAGGAGCGATTGAACACTTCCTAAGTACGCAGCATGAACGACCTAGGGGCTGCCCCGCAAGCACCCCAGATTCGAATCCCTTCCTCCCCAAACAGTTCGCGACGATAGCGAATCTGGCAACAGGCTAGAAGCTTTCGTCAAAATACGCCTCGCCAACATATTCGACGGCACATGTGCCAGGGACTGTTTCGCAACCACAGCCCCCCTGATTCCTCTGCCTTTCCTTCTGGCCCTTCCGCGGGTAAGGGGGGGAACGGGGGATAGTTTCAGCACAATGCTGCCAACGTACGGAGTGGATCATTACTAGAGCGTAGATTTACTAGAGCTATTTGAACTGGACCAGCGATATTATTCCCCTTTACACAGTCCGTTCCTTTAGGGAAGAGTCCCGCCGTTTGGGCTGAAATCTGAGTAAATGATTCACTTTCCTCGGTGAAGCTACTTGGCGGAATCGTCTCAACGTGGGACTAAAATCTCGCAACGAATGTGACGACATTCAGCAACAACTCCTCTGTTTCACCCTTTCGACTCGACTTCCACCACGCGGTAGCTCTCAAAATCTCGAACATCAGGGGAGCTGTACATCACCCTGCCGCATTCCGCGCCAACATTTACCCTATAACTCTCCTCACCGTGTCCCCCACCAAACCTACCACCGTCAGCCATGTCAGGTGCATTCACCACTGCCTTCGTGGCGCTAGCATCACCTGCCGTGTCAGCATTCCCGGCAACAGGCCCACGGGCCTCACCAACAGCAGCGGTATCAGCGGCAGCAATGACATCAGCCTCTGCATCCGTGCTCATGGCATCCCGGCACTCCCTCAAGCATCCACTCTCTGGTTCCATCAGGCGCAAGGGGCAGCAGGCGCAGCTGAGGGATCGAGGAGTTCAGCGCAGGAACGGAGGAGTGGTGGTGATGGCGTCTGGTCAGGGTGAAAGCGGACAGGGACGAGGGGAAACGGAAGAGAAACGCCCGCTTTTCATCAAGGTAATTCCTTGCTAAACTCCCGGGATCATATGAACCTGTCCAAATCAATTGTTGCTTGGATGTGTTTTCTTGACTTTCAGTCTGTGCCTCAGAGGGTTCAGCTCAAGAGGAGCCTTGGAAGCCTGAGAGGGGATGGTTTGCCCTTGTCCATCACCCCACTTTCACCTTGCTTCCTGCCTATCTATCCATCAATTACACACAATCTACCAGTCAGGTTCTTTCACTGTCGATTGCAAGATCCGCCCTTACTTTCTCCTGTTAAACTAGGAAAAACTAGGCGGCCATAGTATACGAGAGGAGGTTTTGGCTAGGGGGAGAAGTTACGAGAGAAAAGGTGGATGATTAGAATGAGAGAGAGGTACAAGGAGGGGGTTGTACCCCCTACAGTAGAGTTCAATAAAACCTACCAAGCCTACCAATTATATAACACAATATATAAATTAACATCTCCCCCGTCAACCTTCCCTCATTTCCTTCATCCCCACACTTCAGAACAACGGTCCATACTTCACGAAAGCTTTTGGCGGATGTGGGGTGGGAGCAATCGCCATCATATACAAAAGCATTTCTGCCATCTGTGTCTTCCAACACACTTTCCCCCCGTTTCTTCACTCCCCACCATTCAGGACGATGGCCCATACTTTGCGAAAGCCTTTGGTGGATGTGTGGCGGGCGCTATTGCAATCAAGTACGGAAGCCTCTTCATTGTGCCGCAGCTTACAGAGTCACCAAGCCCGGTTGCTGCCCTTACAATCATCTTGACTCCCGTGGTGGTTGCTGCCATATTGCTTGCATATGCAAGCTCAAGATCAGACTAACAGATTATGGCATTTGCATAGTGACAGAATTTTTTTTGCTTTGCGGTAGGCCTCTAAATTTTTCGAAGCGACATACAGCAATCATCGGGACTTTGAAAACCATGTTGAGTTTCTGCCACAACCCTTTTCTTTGGCAATTTGTGTTGTGACATACAACCAGTACAATCAATATTTGTTCTGGTGCCTTATGAAAATATCCATTCGTGAATTACTTTTTGTTATCCGTTGCTATAGCGAGGAAATTGACGTCATTGAATGGTCTTGGAAGCATCCTCGTGTGTTCGACGGGCACCAATCCGGAGCGCCAAACCGCCATATTCCTTCCAGCCCAGCAGCTCGCCTTGCTGTGGCTGGTGAATCTCTGCCTCGAGATTGCCATTGCCTAGTAGAAAAGATGAAGACCAGTCTCCTGGTGGGAGGCGATCTACCCTAGTCGAGTAAGATGAAGTTGATAAGTAACCTTGGTTACACTCTTGGGATCTCAAGTGAGCATCTCCTTGGGGCCACGCCGCGGAGGGGGCCTGGATGAAGTGGGCCGACGAGCAAAGTGTGTATCCCCAGAGGCACTCGGGCCCTCTCCGCCGCAGAGGGGGCCTCTGGGATAGCGTACTACAAGTGGTCCAGCCCGGCCAAGATGCACAACCTGAGGTTTTGCGACCAAACGCAGTGCGTTAGGCCTGCTGGGCAAGGTTATGGTGTCATTACCTCTTTCGGAGCAGCCAAAGCTGCTGAAGGGACAGCAGTCTCCTTTTGAAGCGAACTCGAAACTGCTAGTAGTACTAGGTTTCGGATAGCAAAGAGGTAGCGAAATGACACGTTTAGTGTGGCCCGATGCTTTCCAGGATAGATTTGACACGTCAGCTTTAGAGGCTGCTCAAATAGATCCGATGGTTCTAGAACAGGCTCAATCCGACGCCGACGCTGGCAGGCTGAGTCCTGAAATTCCAGCGTGTCACCTTGATGGTTATAACGAGATTTTTTACGAATCCCCGTTGGATGTCGATTCCTGGTTGGCGCATGACGAGTTAGTAGGCGACCGTGACGTCACCCATGGCTTCTTTGGGAATGGCGATGCCACTGATGCTAACACCGCTGATGGTGACGTCACTGATGGCGACACCACTGATGGTGATTTCAGCTGCGTAGCAGTAGCTGCTGCCGAGCAGGCACCCTGTAAGGCAAACCCCCCCATGGATTCGTCAGGTGGAAATTCGGCAACAGAAGATGTAGCTAGACAGCGATCAGGAGGGTCCATCAGGCCAGACAGTGATCTCGCCGTTGACTGGATCGAATCCGTTGACTTTCAGCTGGATAGCAACTCGCTTCTAGACGGCGATGGGTTTTCTCACCTGCTCCCTCATGCGCCGAGATTGGAACCAGACGTAGGTGCTTATAACGAGGACGTCGTGACCCCTGCTCCTGCCGTGGTAGCGCAGAGTGCAGCAGCACAAGCGCAGCTGTCAGCTTCGAGGGACGAAGCCTTTTCCAATGTTGCAGCTTCAGCAGTACAATTACTAACAGCAGCACCAGCGTCGCCACTACTACCAAGGGGCAGTTGCATGAGCTGCCAAGCTACTCGTAATTGGGAACCATCTCCTCCGATATCAGCGAATGCACAAAGCGATGAAGGCCTAGTCAGAGCCGTGCTCCGACCTTCTTTGCCACCAAACCAACCACCACGAGATTCCTTCTCTCCTATTCCGCCTTCACTAGTGACTACCTCCTCTGTTCCTGTGGTACAAGATAAGCCTGCTGGCGTGGCATCGTTGCGTAGCCGTGCTGACCTGTCGACCCGGCTGGCTGCTGTGCTCGAGAGCATTACAGGGGAAGCGGCAGGACGAGGGGAGGGAAGGCAGATGGGAGGTGACGCAAGCGCCAGTCGTCTGCCTTTGAGTCGACTCAAAGGCATTACAGGGGAAGCTGAAGGGCGAGGGGAGAGAAGGCAAATGGGAGATGACGCAAGCATCAATTCTCCCCTTGCGAACGCTGCGGACCCAAGTGGTGGCGAAGACAGGCGGGATTCGCAAGCAGGGAAGAGGCTCAAGAAGGCAAGAGGGGAGAAGTTTGAGAGTGGACGGAAGGGGAGGGGGAAAGGAGGTTCCGTTGCTAAAACTGGCGGACAAAGAGGAAGACGATGTGATCTGGTCAACCGGATGGCATTGAGAGAAACTAATGGGACATCCGCCAACCAACAGATTCCGCACTTTTCCCATCAGCCATCGCACACTTCCCATCAGTTATCGCACACTTCCCATCAGCCCCCACACACAGCCCTGCACCAAGGCATGACACGTCCGTATGTGTCAGCTGCATCACAACAGAGAGACACGGTAGGAGAAGATGACGTGGTATGGCATGCTGACAGGGCACAAGCTGACGTGGTGCAAGCTGACATGGCACATCCGTACATGCCAGTTGTATCTCAGCTGAGCGATGGCTTAATACGAAGTGCTGACGCATCACAACCTGGCATGGCACGTGGTGACGTGGCGTCTCAGAGCATTGTGCCAGTGCCAACGTGGCAGTGCAGGCTGAGGTTCGATGGAGCGGGGATGGCGGAGGGGAGAGGGTGGGTGGATGGGGAGAGGGAGAGGCGTCTGAAGCAGAGGCTTTTCGCCCTGGCTGAAGCTCACGCTGTGGGGGATGAGGTGAGTTGGGGCCGAGGTGAGTTGCAATGGGGTGAGTCGGGAAGAGGTGAGTAAACGGCTTGTGCAGCAGTGCCTTGCGTGGGGTTGGTTGGAGTAAGCGGGTATGATGTGGCACGTAGATGTGGGGAGGGAAAGGCGTGCTGTGGGCAGTGGTTGAGTGGGCGAACCTGGATGGTGGTGGTGTGAGTTGATACGGGTGCATGACAGGATTCCCCCTCGTGTGCCCATTTCCTCCCTCCCTCCCACCCCATCCGCTACGGTCCGATGCCTGTCGTCTCACCCGCTGCCTGCAGCTAGACGCAACCAGCGCCCAATTCCTTTCCAAAACGCACTATTTGCTTTTTCCTCCCTCGCAACCTCGCTCCCACCCCATCCGAGTTCGATGCCCGTCGTCTCACCCGTTGCCTGCAGCTAGACGCCTCTCCTCTTAGGGATGCCTTCCAATCCCTAGCCTCAACGCCTCTCCTCGCCTCGTGTGCGTCTCTCCTCCCGGGGGTGCCTCCCAGGGCCTAGCCGTCTACATGCTGCAGGCCCTCAACGCTCATTCCGACGGCTCTGCTGACGCCCCTTTTTCCCGGGATGCCTCCCAGCGCCTAGCCTTCTATGTGCTGGATGCCCTCAACGCTCAATCCCCTTCTCTCTGCACTCTTTGCATTTTCGTCTCTCCCTCCCACCCCACCCCACCCCAGCCATACGTTGCTCGTCTCACCCGCTGCCTGCAGCTAGACGCCTCGCCTCTGGGGGATGCCTCACAGCGCCTAGCCTTCTACGTGCTGCAGGCCCTCAACGCTCGATCCGACGGCTCTGCCGACGCCAAGTGGCGCGACCCTATCGAGTTTGACGCCCAGGTTGGTAGGATAGGGATTCTGGGATCTGTTGGTCCTGTGGGTCCTCCACTTGTGTTCTGGAGCGCTCTGATAATTGTAGCATGTACAGGGCTCACTGCTGGGATCCTCACGATCAGGTGGGTACGATAGGGATCTTGGGCTCTGTGGGTCCTGTGGGTCCTGCGGGCCCTGTGGGCCCTGTGGGTCCTGTGGGCCCTCCCCCAATGTCCTGAGGTACTAAGGATTGTAGCATGTATGTATAAGGCTCACTGTTGGGATCTTCACCATCAGGTTGGTACGATATGGATACTGGGCTCTGTGGGTCCTGTGTGTCCTGTGGGCTCTGTGGGTCCTGTGTGTCCTGTGGGCTCTGTGGGTCCTGTGGGCTCTGTGGGCTCAGTGGGCTCTGTGGGTCCTGTGTGTCCTGTGGGCTCTGTGGGTCCTGTGTGTCCTGTGGGCTCTGTGGGTCCTGTGGGTCCTGCGGGCCCTGTGGGCCCTGTGGGTCCTGTGGGCCCTCCCCCAATGTCCTGAGGTACTAAGGATTGTAGCATGTATGTATAAGGCTCACTGTTGGGATCTTCACCATCAGGTTGGTACGATATGGATACTGGGCTCTGTGGGTCCTGTGTGTCCTGTGGGCTCTGTGGGTCCTGTGTGTCCTGTGGGCTCTGTGGGTCCTGTGGGCTCTGTGGGCTCAGTGGGCTCTGTGGGTCCTGTGTGTCCTGTGGGCTCTGTGGGTCCTGTGTGTCCTGTGGGCTCTGTGGGTCCTGTGGGTCCTGCGGGCCCTGTGGGCCCTGTGGGTCCTGTGGGCCCTCCCCCAATGTCCTGAGGTACTAAGGATTGTAGCATGTATGTATAAGGCTCACTGTTGGGATCTTCACCATCAGGTTGGTACGATATGGATACTGGGCTCTGTGGGTCCTGTGTGTCCTGTGGGCTCTGTGGGTCCTGTGTGTCCTGTGGGCTCTGTGGGTCCTGTGGGCTCTGTGGGCTCAGTGGGCTCTGTGGGTCCTGTGGGCTCTGTGGGCTCAGTGGGCTCTGTGGGTCCTGTGGGCTCTGTGGGGTCTGTGTGTCCCGTGGGTCGTCCACTTGTGTTCTGAGGTACTCAAAGAATTGTAGCATGTTGTGTAAAGCGGCTCTAGAATCTCGGGATCCAATCGAGACTCGCGCCCAGCCCAGGTTGGTAGGAAGGTTTGGGATCCCGGGATCTGTAGCCCCTCCAATTTCGCATTGCGGCCTTTGAGTCGACTCATAAGTCACCTCATAAAACTTCACGCCCAGGTTGGTAGGACTTCTAGCATAAAATTTTACGCCCAGGCCAGGCTGGTAGGACTGGGATCCCGGGATCTGGAGCCCCTCCGATTGTGCATTGCGACCTTTGAGTCGACTCACAAGTCACCTCATAAAAATTTCACGCCCAGGCTGTTAGGATTAGGATCCCAGGACCTGGGGCCCCTTGGATTTCGCATTGCCCTGCTTTCTGTGATTTCTTGACGCTGTTCGGAGTTAGCCGATTAGAATCAGGACAGGGCTATATTCTTGAGGCTCCTCAAAAATAGAATCAGGACAGGGCTTCAGCTGACTTAGGCAATTGCTTTACCCTGATGTTCGCTAAGTGACCTTGTTCGGTTGTATTACACGCGCTTTTATTTTATTTTTTCTTTTTTTTCTTTCCTTTTCTTTTCTTCCATGTGCTTCTTCCGCTGTCTTTCCTGCAGGCTCTCTTGGCAGGAGCTTTAGCCGACATGCGCATTAACAGCAGCAGCAGCAGCAGCAACGGCAGCAGCGGCAGCGGCAGCGGCAACAGAAGCAGCAGTGTGGTCAGGAGCAGGGGGGAGGGCTTGAGGGACTTCTCATTTGCTGCGTTGATACATGAGGTGCCTAGAGCGCTTGTGCACCCTCCTATCTCCACCCCCTTGCATGCACATCCCACACACTCTCCACCCACACACCCTTTACCCACACACCCTTTACCCACACACCCTCTCCCCACACTCGCTCTCCCCACACACCCTCCCCCCCGTCGCATTCACATAATCGCGTTTGACATCATACGAGGGGGGCACTGGGGGCTGCTGCTGCACCAAATAGCATCTGCTGTGGTGCAGAGCGGTGCATTGTGCTCCTCTTGCTACTCCCTCGCCTGCTCCTGCCCCTCCGACTCTCCTGCTGCCGATCCCAGTGGCAGTCAGGGCTTGAATCCACCTCATTCTGCTGCTGCTGCTGCTGCTGCTGCTGCTGCTGCTGCTGGTTTTGAGGCGCCTCAAAACTACTCTCCTGCTGCTGATGCCAGTGGCATTCAGGGCTTCAATCCTGCTGATGCTTCTGGTGCTGCTGCTGCTGCTGCAGCTGCAGCTGGTCCTGTTTTCCCTCCTTCCTCTGCGATCGGTGTTCCATCTGCTCTTCCTCGCACCATTGCTGCTACTCCCTCTGCTCCATCCACTACTGCGCCAGCTACTGCTTCGTCTGCACCTCCCATACTACCCCCTCCTGGAAAGCCATCCACAGGCAGCACCATCCCTTCCCTCCACTCTTTCTCCTCCCCCTCTTCCCTCCTTTCCCCCCACCACTCCCCACACCATCTACACTCGTGCATCTCCATTAGACTCACTGGCATAACCTTCGAAACCATCAACCCGGCATCTGCCCCAGAAACCCCGGAAGTCCTGGCGGGCTTGATTTTCGGGCAGGTTGCGAATCGTCTCGGGCTGCCCGTTGCATACGAGGTGGTACAGGTGGCGCCAGAGGCCTTCCATCCGTCCATGGTGCGCGTGCAGCCGGGGGAGGAGGTGGTGGTGTGCTCGTTCTCGGGCCTCATGCATCTGCCAGATGACTCCGTGCTCAGGCACAACCCAAGGGATGCTGTGCTCAAGGTGAGTTGGTTAAGGGAAAATGGTACAGAGGGAGAAGGGAGGTGGATGTGCAGCCAGGGGAGGTGGTGGCGGTGTGCTCGTTTTCGGGCCTCATGCACCTCCCAGATGACTCCGTGCTCCGGCACAACCCAAGGGACGCTGTACTCAAGGTGGGTTGCTGTGCTGAAGGTAGGTTGCTGTGCTCAAGGTGGGTTGGTACAGGGCTAGATAGAAGGAGGTCGTGCAGCCGGGGGAGGAGGTGGTGGTGTGCTCGTTTACGGGACTCATGCACCTCCCAGATGATTCCGTGCTCAGGCATAATCCAAGGGATGCTGTACTCAAGGTGAGATGGTTAAGGGAAAATGGTACAGGGCTAGAGAGGAGGTGGCTGCACCTCCCAGATGAATCTGTGTCAAGGTATAACCCAAGGGATTCTGTTCTCATGATGGGTTCAAATGGTGTCGTTTTCAAGGTATGCCGGAGGCCTTCCATCCGTCCGTGATGCGAGTGCAGCAGGGAGAGTTTTGAGTCGACTCAGAGGTCACCTGGTGATGCGAGTGCAACAGGGAGAGGGTTGGTGGTGTGCTCGTTTTGGGCGTCATGCATCTGCCAGATGATTTCATGCTTCCCCCCCCCCTCCCCCCTCCCCCTTACCCCACCCTCCAACCCCCCCACTTGCTTCGTTCCCCCCCAGTGGATTCACAGCCTCAAGCCGTGCCTAGTCCTTCTGTCTGAGGTCGACGCCAGCCTCAACGGCCCCTTCTTCCTCCCGCGCTTTCGCGACCTCCTCCGCGTCATGCACCTCTCACTCGACATGATCGACTCCTCCCTCGGGCCACGCTGCCTCGGCACCAAGATATGGGAGGATGCAATATTTAGAGACCTGGTGAACTGTGTGGGGTGTGAGGGGTTGCAGAGGTGGAATAGGGCTGAGCGATTGGACCAATGGCAGGAGCGCATGTGGAGATTAGGGTTCGAGGAGGTGGTGATGGGGGGTGACACGCTGGCTGCTATGAGGGATGCCACGCAAGGAAGGGATTCCAGGTTTGAAGTGGTTACTGTGGGAAGTGCTGCTAGATTGATGTGGAAAGGAAGTCCCTTGTTGTCAGTTTCTGCATGGAGGTGACGTAAGATTAAAATGAGTTAAGTTACACATGCATACCGTATGTTTGGATTACGATCTACGTTGATTGTCCTTTGCACCTTTAGTCTATGTGCAGTGGTCAAGCCAATACAGTTTTTGTACTGCTCGGTTTGATGCCATTACCGAGGCATTCCGGGAAAATTTCTGCCGCGGACTGTCCACGAAACTTTTCATACTTTCGTGGACAAGCCCTACTTTCATGGACACCACATCGAAGTTTTGCTTCTCCTGTGGACTCCGTCAATACTTTCGTGGACTCCCGGCTTACTTCCATGGACACACCCATATTCGCAGTTAAAAAGGAGTATTCAGCAATGTACAAGTGATTACGGGCACAAAAATCGAGATACTCCAGAATATCTGTCCGTCGCAAGTAATCGCGAGCTACAGTGTCGGAAACCAGTTCTGAAACAGAATCTCGGAGCTTTTCTGGGAAGAGTTTGCAGCCGCACTCAAATATGCAGTGAATTTTCAAAAACAGGGTGTATTAGGGTCCGCGTGGTAAAAACACTTATTATTCAACTCAGAGCTACCCAACAAAACATAATATGCACGTGCTTGACGAGCCAGCATCAACCAGCAGTTGTTTTCTCCTTCATAATAAATAATTTCATTATTAGTAATTCTGTGAAGAAAAACACCTAAGAAATATATTTTTTAGAATCACTTGTTTTTATTTGCATTAGTATGTTTCCTGTTCAAACATAAAAAAAAAATTCCCAAAAACGTGAATGTAAAATAGTTAAATCATTTTCTCATCTATTATTATTTTACTATGTACCGAAATTTTAATAATAATACAATCAAGACGTGAAACCTTCCATTTATATAGTCATGTTCACCAAACGTTATTGGTATTCTGAGATTTCACATCTTAGTTGAAAATGCAAGCCAAGTACTAGTTGAAATATTTGTAAATGCCAGAATTCATGGTATTCCTGATTCTTGGTAGGCAGAGATTTTCAATGAGCTCTATTAATCTTGTAAGCGTAATATCTATCTTTATTCTACAACGTGATTTTTTTGTAGCGATATTTCACCAGGTCGGTCTGCTACACTTATCGTTCAACGAAAAGCGCTTCGTGACAGTCATTCAAATGAATTTTGAGGATCGCTTCAGAGTTTCTATAAACACGCGAAACAGCTAGCGGACTTGGTGGCTTGAAAATACTGTAGCTTGCGACTATTTGCGAGGGACTTGATTACGCCTAATTCTGCTTTTTTTCTCCTGTCAGCATCTGTACAGTTCTGTATGTTTTTTTTGTTTCAAACTCGCGTGTGTCCATGGAAGTAAGCCTGGAGTCCACGAAAGTATTGACGGAGTCCACGGGAGATGTGAAAGTTCGATGTGGTGTCCATGAAAGTAGGGCCTGTCCACGAAAGTATGAAAAGTTTCGTGGACAGTCCGCGGCAGCAATTTTCCCAGGCATTCCACTATTGAGGTTCCACAGACACGACAGTAGGCGATGGCGAAGCGATTACACGACGAGGCGAGCGATGCAGGGTTATTCCAAGGCTGGGAGTGTCCGCCTGGAGGGTGGCCGGAGAGGTGTTGCGGAAAGCGCGAAGGTTAATTACTGAAGGAAAGCAGGTAGCTACGGTAACAAACGAAGATCTAACGAAAATGAGTGAACAGTTCTGTACGGAAATGAGTCTCGTCAACTCTCGAACGAACCCAACGTGTCAGCTCAGCAAAGAACCCTAGTACACCTAGCCCGCGGTATTTTCACACCCAGTATTTTCTAGGGGTTGCCGCTGATAGGGTATTCACCCCCCGAAAGCAGCTCCTGAAGTCCAGATCCGAATACCCTTGAAAAACAACCAAAACTTGGGTTTCTGTACAAAACGTTTACTGCTCGATCTAGTGTTTCTCGAATCAGGAAACCCGACGTCAGCCTAGGCAGTGCTCAAAGTTTTTTCCCGCGTATATTCTGCCAAGCTTAGGCCGTAGGAACAAGGAGGTACTGTCTACGCACTCAGAAATGGTCAGGGTAGAAACAAAGGTTTTTTCTGCCATCAGTTTCAGGGTATGAAATTACCACGGGCTAAGTGTAGTCCCCCGCAACGCACCATCGTGGTCGGTGTGACTTCCCAAACCAACCAGTCCAGTCCACCTTCGCCTTGCTGCGCTGGTCGCACGAATTCTTCACCACATCTTCCCCGGTGCTGAGCTGTCACTGTCTCGACAGAAATCTTCGTGCGGGTGCCTGACCGCTCGTCGTGCCGCACAAACCCCCAGAGCACTTTCGTCGGGTTAGCACGTGGCGACCGACAGGAATTGGTAACCCTGAGCCACTCGAAACGACCGACCACTTTGCTGCGCTCTGACACAGCATCTGACGAGTCTACACCACCACGAGTCGAGGGCCGGTCAGCAGCACAACTGGCGTCGAGTCTCTGCACCGCACGCACACGCCACCATGCCTCGCCAGCTGGTCGCGCCGCGTTGACCGAAATGTTGATTCTCCAATTTTCACCTCGACACTCGAACCACCAAACCAACACCAATTTGCTCCTGCCGTTTCCTACGCTGCGCGCTCCCCTAGCAGTACGAGTGCCTCCATTATTACGACTGTCCAGTCCAGTCCAGTCTGAGCATCATCGGCCCTTCCTCTGATCACCTTTCATTCTGAGCCACGACTGTCATCGACAACGTCCAGCCAGAGAAGTTCCAACTTAAGAAGCATCACTGCAGAGATAAGCAGAGAAGGCGGCCGCTCTGGTGCGAAACTCCTCTCCTCCTTACGACCCGTGAAAGTCCATCTGGAAGTGACAGCTTCGTCCGCTTTTGTAGTATCGTGCGTATTACGTCTACAGTCGCGCAATCGGCGCCACGAGCTTGTTGGACCCCAGTTTCCGTAATTAAATAGCGTAGAAGCAGGGCAATCGTGAAGCAACGCGGATATTGCGATCATGGCCTCCGAAAGCGCGATCGTTCGGATGCGCGCAGCAGCGGAAGGAAATAAGTCGTCCGACGAAGAGTCTCCTATATCGCGCGTGGACGACGCGGTCGTCGCGAAGATTCTGCAGAAGCTTCGCGATCCCAAGGACGTTCGTTCCGCACTCTGCGTCTGCAAGGCCTGGCGACGCGTCTCTCCTATGGCCGTGCGCCACGTGTCCACGGTCTTCGATCCCGTCCAAGCGCACTCCACCCTCTTCTTGGCTGACGTCAGCAAACGCGCCTTTGTCTCGCGCCGCGATCCTTCCATCACTGGGAACTGGGCGGCGATCACAGCACCCGAGCTGACCAATAGCGTTCTTCCACGTGGCGACGAATCGCAGCTCTCTCGTGGCCTTTGGAGCTCCCCGAAGGAGTGGTCCCCGAGCCAGGTTCGGAAGCTGGTTCGGCAGGTGCCGAACCTACTGAGCGTCGGTTTGGCATGCCGGGCGGAACACCTGGGTCCGATCCTGCGCATCTTAGGAGGGGAGCGGGCATTGGTGGAGTGTGGATTAAAGCCGGGCGAGGGTGGTTTAAAGCCGGGCGAGGGTGGTTTAAAGCCGGGCGAGGGTGGTTTAAAGCCGGGCGAGGGTGGATTAAAGTCGCTTCGAGCGTGTACCTTGGAGGTGGTATCGCGACCCGACGCAAGGGGCACGGGCGGATTAGCGGAAGGACTGGAGAATATTGCGCGCGGCTGTCCTAGACTCCTGGCGTTGCACCTTCAAGGAAGGTTCTTCGTGCTGAGCGAACTCGATACCATCAGCAGCAGCAGCAGCAGCGGCGGCGGCGGAGGCGGCGGCGGAGGCGACGGCGGAGGCGGCGTAGGCGGCGGAGGCGTCAGTAGTGTCTCTCTTCCGAGTATCGTGGCGGCTCGCTGCCTTCCTCGCCTCACCAGCCTCGCTCTCCCGCTCACCACTCTTCCCAAAGCGTTTCTTTTAGCTAAGCGCCTCAAGTCCCTCTCCCTCTCACTCTCCCTTCTAGCTGAACCCCTCCTCCAATCAGGATCGCCCTTTTCGCATCTAACCTGCCTCGAGTCGCTTTCCCTCACGATCACTTATCACCCGCCGCCGCTTGATAGCCTATCGCCTGATAGCGTATCTCTTAGCGACCACGAGCGGCACGTATTGGCCGGGCTACAGCTGCCGTCGCCGCTACAGCTGCCGCTACATCCGAACTCAGCCGGTTCTTCTCCACACTCCCCTCCCGTCCTTTCGCCGTCCCTTTTCGCCGGCCTTGCTCCCTCGATAACTTCTCTCTTTTTCAAGCACCACGCGCCTAAAGGATTTGCTTATAACGAGGACGAGCGCGATCGCGAAGGGAGAAGGCAGCACCACGCCACGTCAGCAGTCATCCCCGAGTCGCTGTGGACGCTGACTCGCCTGCAGTCTCTGCTGCTGGATACTGGGTCGTGCTGTAGCGAGTGTGACTGTATCGTGTACTGCCACGTGGCGCAGATTAGCGGTCTGACGAGCCTCGAAGTCCTCGCGCCCCTGTCAGCCCCGCCTATCCACGCCCTGTCAGCACCTCCTATTCCGGGCAAGGAATCGAAGGGAGGAGAGAATTCCGGTCAACTGCCATCTACTGCCGCTGCCGCTGCTGCTGCTACTGCTCCTCCTGCTCGTTCTGCTGCCCCTACTGCAGCCGACGGTGCATCCGCTGCTGCTGGCTCTGCCGCTGCGTCGAGTGCAGCAGCTAGTGGCGCCACTCGCTGCCCCTTCTCCCACCCCACCCACCCCGCCTCTCCCTCCGCCCACTCTCACACTTCCATCCCCACAGCCAGTTCCCCGGTGCTTCCAGCTTTTGAGTCGACTCACAAGCACCCCACCTACCCTGCATCTCCCTCCATCCACTGCCACACTTCCACCCCCCCAGCCAGCCCCCCGGTGATCCCAGCACACTCCCCTCTCTTCTCGAGCTCCACACATTCCCCTGCACCCTCCATTCCACCTCACTCCCCTCTCGCCCCAAGGCCACCCCACTCCCCTCTTCCCTCCATCCCTCCACACTCCCCTCATTCCTCCCTCCTCTCTCACTCCCCTCTCGCCTCGCTCTCCTCTCTCCAGCTAGACGTGGCCTATCTCCTCCTACCCTCGTTTGGCGCACATTTACCTGCAGTCACGCGCCTCTCCCTCCACTCCATCCGCTTCTGTCACACCAGCTCCTGCCCCCCTGCGCTGCTCTCCTCCCTCTCCTCCTTCCCCTCCCTGCTCCACCTCTCGCTCTCCCTCTCCCCCTCCCTCCTCCCCAACCCTTCCCCACTCCCCCCTTCGCAAGCCCCCATGAACCAGCAGCCAATCTGCCCTCATTCTGCATCTCCCACTCCTCGCTCTGCCTATCCTATCGCTCACTCTGCATCTGCTCCCCAACTTTCACCCTCTCCGCCCCCATCTACTAGCCATGGGCCAGCAGCATCTCCGTCCCCTCTCTGCCACTGCCAACTTCTGCACATGCATAGGCACGTGATGGATAGGAGCCATCACCTGCAGCAGCAGCAGCATCGGTTATGTGAGCGGAATGGCGACTTGAGCAGCCAACAGCAGCACCAGCAGCAGCAGCAGCAATGCCCCATGGGCCATTGTGCACTGGAGCACCTCTGTTCGCTCACCATCACCATATGCAAGGGCGACAGCAACAACAGCGCCAGCAGCAGCAACAGCAACAGCAGCAGCAGCAGTAACAACGTAGTTGAGGTGCAAGCAGCAGCGTTGCTTGCGCTGCTGGCAAAACAGGCCCCCAATCTGAAATACCTCTCCCTCTCCCCACCTCTCCCACCCTTACCCGCTTCCTCCAACTATGATCCTGCTATCTCCACACCCTCCCCTCTCTCCCCTCTCTCCCCTCTCTCCCCTCTCTCCCCTCTCTCCCCTCTCTCCCCTCTCTCCCCTCTCTCCCCTCTCTCCCCTCTCCCTCCCCTCCCTCCCCTCCCCCATCTGCAAACGCTGCAGCTGAGCTCGCTGCCCTCCATGCAGCTCCCTCTCTTCCTCCGCCTCACATCCCTCCCTTGCCTCACTGACCTCATCATTGACAATGCTGCAGACGTGGCTGTAGACAGTGTGATTACTGACACAGTGAATGCAGCAGATGTGACTTTAGACTGTGTGACTGTTGAAGACGCTGCTCCACCTCTCACCCTTGGCCTGGCACCAATTTTCCAGCCCCCTCCTCCGCCTCCTCCACCCCTCACCCTTCGGCTTTGCAACATCCATGCCAACAGTAGCATCCTATCCTCACTCCACCTCATCCCCACCCTCCACACTCTCGTCCTCCCTCCTCTCTCTTGGCTCACCACCATCCCTCCCTCACTCGCCCTCTCCCCCTCCCTCTCCCTCATACGCGTTATAGACTGGAGCAACCTGTCAGATTTGCCAGAAGAGCTAGGCAACGCGTCTAGTGTACTGAAGGAGATTGAGATAAGGGGGGAGCATAGTTTGGGGTGCCTTTCATCAAGCTTGCAGGAAGTTGTTTGTTTCAAGTAATCACTGTAGATAGTGGTTAGGGTGCAACTAGCAGCTAATTTCTTCTCTTGATGTTATGTAGATACCATTTCAACTGGTCACTCAAACCTCTTCATGCTGGTAGAGGAAAAGTGTTACCCGTAGTTGATTCTGCACAGCTAAGAAGGAAAAAACAATGCATACTCAATACTTCACAGCACACCAAGAGACGGATAACTCTACAATTTGTGACAATTTAAATGTACAAAGTAGCGCCACGCAAGCACACAACACAACACGCACACATCAATCTGAAGACACCCAGAGAAACCTGCATATCAGAGAATAGAAATATCAGGAGAAAGAGCTGGCCGAGGCAGCAGCACCAGCAGCGCCGTCAGTAGAGCCACTGGCACCGTAAGACAAGAGTGAGGTGGCGACAGCACCTGAGCCTGATGCTTCACTGCTCACACTGAAACAACTGGGTTCCCTCACACTGTATCACTCTCCCCTTTCGGCCAGCATCAGGCCTGTAGCCATGGCCGGCGCCATGAGCACCAACATCCAGGGCAGTGCCTGCAGCAGCACCCTCTCTCCTGCCGTAACTCCCGCTCCTCCTTTCCCCCAACCAGCCGTTCTCAACATTGCATCACTCCCCCGCCTTGGCCAGCATCAGCCCTACAGCCATGGCCGGCACGATCAGCACCAACCACCCCTCTCCCCATAGCTTCCCAGCACACACATGTGCTTCCCAGCACACACATGTGCTTCCCAGCACACACATGTGCTTCCCTACATCGCCTTTCCTACTCAGCACACTTCTCCTCTCCTCCCATACATCATTGTGTCACTCTCCCCCCTTATCCAGCATCAGCCTTACAGCCATGGCCGGCGCCATGAGCACCAGCATCCATGCTACCTCGTCCTCTCACCTACCCCTCTCCCCACCCTCTCCCAACGTCAGCCCCCCTTGCATCACTCTCCCCCCTTACAATGGTGTCACTCTCCCCCCTTGGCCAGCATCAGCCCTATAGCCATGGCGGGCGCCATGAGCACCAGCATCCACGGCAGCGCCTGTAGCAGCACCCTCTCCTGCTTCGACTCCTCCTGCTTCCGCCCACTCAGAGTGTAGTTTCCGAAGCCGGATAGAAACATCTTATACATGTAGTCGTCTAATGACGACGGTCTTTCGCTCGAAGTTTGCTGCGTCTGCTGCTGCTTTGCGGGATTGTGCGAGTCGCCTTCGAACAGGGCCTGCGCGGCGCGTCTCTTAATATGGTGGTCCGCGCCGCGGAAGTGGCAGAGGGCTTTATAAAGGCGTCGCGCTTCGTCGTGCGCGCCGAGCTTCTCAAGGCAGGCGGCCTTTTGGAGGGAGGCTTCGCCGTGGTGATACGTGTCGTCCTCTGATTGGCCGAGCACCTTGTCGAAATGCGCTATGGCGGTAGTGTATTTCTCCTGTTACACCGTCATTAGCACGATCATGAAAGATCGAAAGAAAAAGCATAAATCGAAAGAAAAAGCATAAGTGAACGCAAGTACGAACAATATCAAGTTGTCAAACAGTGTGTTCGTTCGATGAAGAGACACAAGAGGCGAGTAATCTGCAGGTTGACGAGCATTCACGAGAGAGCATTCTCTTGCGGAATCGAAGCTCGTGCTCCAAGTGGGCTTTAAGTTTTGAGGCGTTCAAAGAACTCGAACATACCTGAGAGATCATGATCTTGCCGAATCGAAGCTCGTGGTCCAGGTGGGCTTTAAGCGCGGCCTTTTTCAACTGATCTTCCCTCGCCCGCGTCTGCTGCTCTATCTTCACTATCTCCTCCGCAATCAGCCGCTGCTTCTCCTCCTCGCCCATGTCCTGCAGGAGAAATCAACGCGTAAATGGATGAGACTCAAATGGGCTTTAAGCGCGACCTTCTTCACAATCTTCTGCTGTATCAGCCGCTGCTTCGCCTCCTCGCCCATGTCCTGCAGGAGAGATCCACGGGGGATAGGGGGAAAAGGAACGGAGAAACAAGAGACGAGCTGTCATGGAAATTAACCGTTTCCTGCCAACCCGCGCTCTTGTCTGCTACTCGATCTTCGCAATCTCCTGCGCAATCAGCCGCTGCTTCTCCGCCTCACCCATGTCCTGCAGGAGAAATCAACGGATCAAAGAATTTCCAATGGGCTTTAAGCGCGGCCTTCTTCGCCTCCTCGTCGAAGTCCTGCAAAATAGTTACAGGATAGTATGCGTAAAAAGAAGGGGAAAATTCGGGACATGGAAAAAAAACGCGAAGAACAAACCTGAAAAACAGCAGTTCCGTCAATCACTGTTGGCCAAGTGATAGAATGTGGAACACGTCAGGTGTGGTCAGTCGTGCAGAAATCTTTGTAAAAATCGACAGACGATTGGATTCCTTACGTGGGCGTGAGAATGGAAGCCATCTGCGACGGCTCGAGGAACGTCGAACGACTTGGCTCTGTGCCTTGGAGGGAAGGTGCCGTCACTCGGAAGCGAAGGAAAAGCGCCGTCGCTTGGTAGCGAACAGACCACTCTACGCCCTTGTTGCGCCGTCCTTGAAACATCGGCGCCGTTCTTAACCGAGTCTAATCTCCCAGGAACAAGCGCCTGCGTGAAACTGCGAAGTGGTAGAGCTTGGGTCCCCATGTGCGAATTCGCGAGAGTGGCGAAAAGACGTGGAAAACAATCCGACGCGCAAGAGTTCGAAGACCCTGTGGTGGATACGAGAGAGGCTACTGTTATTAACAACGAATGACAAAGGCTACTACTACACAAGAGAGTCGCGTGACTGGAGGAAAAAATGAAATAACTAAGCCAAGAGTCGTGTGGATGAAGCGGAGTTGACAGAACCAGATAACTGAGTACAACGAAACTGGGAAAAAGGGGGAACTGGGGAATGGAGAATGCGGATAAGCAGCGAAAACCGTAATGTTTTGACATCCGAACGCTGTGCAGTACGGTGCTGGTGCTTTTTTGGACGTTACAAAAACGTTTGACTTCGGTAGTCTATGTCAAGGCTTCCCCCCCCCCCAAAATAGAGAGGTGAAGGCTGGGGGAGCGGAAAACGGGAAACTTGAGAAAGCAGCAAAGCAGGTGTGGGCCCTGCTGTCATTGGGTACGCAAAGGTGAAGGCATCCCTCGTTATACTGTACGCCTCACTAACCAGCAGCGGGTTTCCCTGAAAAGAAATCTCGAGCTCCAACAAATCCATATACTGTATAAAACACACACATTGAATGAGTTCAATTCCTACCTCCAGCTCAGTGTATTCTGCATCAGGGCAGGCAAAAACAAAACAAATCGCATCAAAACTGATTGGTAAATCAAAGCAAGGGCGCGGGTTACCAACCAAAGGCAGGAGGCATCATCATCACATCAGGAAAAAGGCCAGGTTTGGGAGGGAAAGGCGAAAAGGTGGATATTCCGGTTTCGTTTGGTGGACCTCTCCGAGTCAGAAGTTTATGGCTCCAATGCCTAAAATGTGGAGATTGACGAATAAGAGAGGCGCTCGCTGCTGCGTTGTGTGCCTTGCTGGGCAGCATGCCAGGTTTGGAACCCGAAAGAGGACAAGATTCCCGTCATCCAAGCGCGGTCGACACGTCAGTGTCGGGCCGTGCTACCTGGCACACCAGTTGAGCTGACTCACCTCACCGGGGTTGAGGGTCCAAAAGGATATGTGACTCGTTCGCGGTATTTCTAAGGAATCCTGGTAGAGGTATCTAACAGGTGAGCACGGACCAATTTCTCAAACCTTGATATTAGTCATGCAATGGCTTTATTCACAAAATGAACGGACATGAAATGGTTAAGCTCCTATCTCAAAACCTGCTGAGCTGACGTTTAAAATCGCATATGAAGGTGTTCCCGTTTTATACCATTCCATCCACCCGAATTCAAACACTCGAATGCCACAATCTCAACATCACAAAACAATTCACATCTTCTCATAGCGTCTCACCCTTGTCTCTGCTGCCATCTCCTTCCCCATCCACACTCATACGCTCACCCTCCCCTGCATCTCCCTCCTCCTGCCCGTGTCCCACCGATCCCTCCATCTCACCCTCTCCACTCCCACCATCCCCATCCTCCTCTCCCTCTACTGCCTTCTCCTCACACTCCACTCGAAAGTCACCTCCCACTTCCACCATCATCTCTTCCTTCCCCCTCTCCTCTCCTGCATCAAACCCTTTTCCCTTCTCCCTCACCTCCTCCCTCTCCTCCTCCCTCCCCCCCTCCCTCCTCTCCTCCCTGCTTTCTTCCCTCGTGGGAGACACAGGACCAAAGGCAACAGGAGGGGGGTTATCCACCAGCCACTTACTCGCCTCCTCCTCTTCCATCTCCTCCCCTCCCTCCCGCCCTCTCTCACTCCCACCCCCTCCCTTACCCTCTCTCTTCTCCGCTGCACCACTCCCAGACACACCACCCTCCTCCTTTCCCTCATCTCTTTCCGTTTCTATGGCACCCCCCCTGCTGCCACCACTGCTCCCACCACTGCCACTGCCGCTAGCACTGTTGCTACCACTGCGAGTGGCACCACTACCCACAGCACCACTCCCCACCGCACCACTCCCCACCGCACCACTCCCCACCGCACCACTACCTACAATACCACCTGGAGCTGCCCCACTCCCCACTGCCCCATCTCGCGCTGCGTCAGTCACCACACTACCACCTCCCAGCTCCATAGCTGTCTCTTCCACCACCACCTCACGGAAAAACCCTGCAAACTCAGGCGAATGCGGCGCGATGTCAGGAGAACCAGGGGGAGCGACCCCCTCATCCGTCTCCATTGCTGCACCCCCCCCCCTTGCTGCGTCCTCCCCTGGGTCTTTCCCTGCGCCCCCCCCCTCTCCCCGCCCTTCCTTTCCTTCCCCTCCACCGTGTCCTGCTGGGTGCTCTTTCTCGCCTTCTCCCTTCCCCCCTGCTCTGCTTGCTGGGTCTTGGTGGGGGGAGGGGAGGATTCCGAAGGAGGAGGGAGGGAGGGAGGGGGGGAGGAGGAGGGGGCGTTGCGGTAGAGGCGGTGGAGGTGGGAGGGGGGGAGGGGGAGGGCAGGGAAAGGGTCCGTGGGGGGAGGGGCAGAGGAGGTCACTAGGAGGAGCTGCAGGGGGAAGGGGGGGAGGGGGAGAGGGGCAGAGAGAGGGGAGATTTTGGATGTGTTAGAATTTGTATATATACGCCTTAGTGCTAGGAGGGGGAGCGACCGGGGAGGGGGAGAGCGGGGAAATGGGCTGTGGGGGAGGAACGGAGGAGGTCACTAGGAGGAGCTGCAGGGGGAAGGGGGGGGGAAGAGGGGGAGGGAGAGGGGAGATGTTGGATGTGTTAGAATTTGTATATATATGCTTTAGTGCTAGGAGGGGGAGCGACCGGGGAGGGGGAGAGCGGGGAAATGGGCTGTGGGGGAGGAACGGAGGAGGTCACTAGGAGGAGCTGCAGGGGGAAGGGGGGGGAAGAGGGGGAGAGAGAGGGGAGATGTTGGATGTGTTAGAATTTGTATATATATGCTTTAGTGCTAGGAGGGGGAGCGACCGGGGAGGGGGAGAGCGGGGAAATGGGCTGTGGGGGAGGAACGGAGGAGGTCACTAGGAGGAGCTGCAGGGGGGGAGATAGAGGGGGAAAGGGAGAGAGGAGGGGAGATGTGGGGTGTTAGGGGAGGAGAAGGCAAAAGAGGTGCATGGCACGGATCGAAACTAACGCAGCAGGGAGGGAGAGAGAATGCCGCAACAAGGTGCAGGCATTGTGGCTGCAAAAAGGATTCACGGCAGTGGAGGAAAGGTGAGGGGAGGTAGGCTGAAAAAGAAAGCGCAACGATACAAGCCGCTGAGGGGTGGTAGGTTGACGAAACAAGTGACTGGCAAGGGTGGATCGGAAGGGTGGGAGGGAAGGGCCAATGGGCAGCGTGGGAGGGAAGGGCGAATGGGCAGTGTGGGTGGGAAGGGTGGGTTGGGAGTGATAGGTTGGGGAAGGGTGGGTTGGGAGTGATAGGTTGGGGAAGGGTGGTTTGGAAAGGGATGGGTTGGGGAAGGGTGGTTTGGAAAGGGATGGGTTGGGGAAGGGTGGTTTGGGAGTGATAGGTTGGGGAAAGGTGGTTTGGGAGTGATAGGTTGGGGAAGGTGGGTTGGGAGTGATAGGTTGGGGAAGGGTGGTTTGGAAAGGGATGGGTTGGGGAAGGGTGGTTTGGAAAGGGATGGGTTGGGGAAGGGTGGGCTGGAAAGGGCGGGAGGGGAAGAACGGACGGACCTTCTCGAGGGCAAAAGCCACTCGATTAAGATTGGTGTAGGTGGCTCGCGGATTAAGAAGCACCTGGGAGACGACAGGAGAATGGGCAGGTGCAAATGCAGCAGGAAAAGGGCAGGTGCAAATGCAGCAGGAAAGGGGCAGGTGCAAATGCAGCAGGAAAAGGGCAGGTGCAAATGCAGCAGGAAAACGGACAAATTACCACACAAAAGAGAGGTTTATAGCCAGCAAAGGGCAGGGCCGAAAAGAAATGAAAAGAACATCCCAAAAGCCTTTATACATTCCTCAACCTTCTCTGAGGTGACTTTTGAGGCACCTACCCAAGGCACCTTCCTCTTTGCCGCCTCTTCCTGTGCCCAACCAGTAAACCGAGCTCTGCGGGCGATATTTGAGGGGCGATTTCTAGGTGCCAAGCCAAAGCCAAAGATCAGCTTCACAAGCAGCAGAGGCCTGGCCTAGGACAAGGAGCAATCAAGGGACACCTAAAAAGAACTCTCTGTGCCGGTTTCCTTCTCCTGTGGCCGTTTCTCCTGTGCCCAAATAGTGCAGCGAGGGCTCTGCGGGTGCTATTTGTGGGTGTAGGATGACGGCCAATCAAGGGATACCTAAAGAAACTCTGTGCGCAGGCTTCTTTCTCCTGTGCCCAACCAGTGCAGCGAGGGCTCTGCCTGCCAGCAGGTGCTGTCTGTACGGCGAGTTCAAGCGGCCATGCAACGGGCAAGACAAGGCTCACAAGCGGCACAGGAAGGTACGCCAAGAACTCACTTTGTTTCTGAGTCGAATCAAAAGCGGTCACGAAACGGGCCGGACAAGGCTCACAAGCAGCACAGGAAGGTACGCCAAGCCAAGCACTCACTTTGTGAAAGCGCTCACCTCACAGATCCATTGGATGGTGAACGGCGGCCCGTCGTCTGTGAATGCATAGAGTGAGTTGGTGCAAGTGAACACCACTTGGGTGAGTTGGTGCAACGACTCAAACACCCACTTTGTAAAAGCGCTCACCTCACAGATCCGTTGGATGGTGAATGGCGCCCCCTCTGTGAATGCCTCAAGGTCTGTGCGTGGGGGGGGAGGGGAGGGGGTTTGGGGGAGGGGGGGGGGGACGAAGAGTGCAGCAGGAAAAAGTGGAGTGGGAGTAGTAGGCGTGCGATTGGTGGCGCAGCAGGCAGGCATGGAAGGCTGATTCAATGACACAGAGATAGAAGGGAGAGCAGGCATTTTTCCACCAGTACATGCTTGCCAGCACACACATGCCACATACAGGAGAGGATACGCTGGTTCATCTCACAAGCACACATGAGAGGTGCACAGCAGCGCACACATGAGAGGTGCACAGCAGCGCACACATGAGAGGTGCACAGCAGCGCACACATGAGAGGTGCACAGCAGCGCACACATGAGAGGTGCACAGCAGCACACACATGAGAGGTGCACAGCAGCGCACACATGAGAGGTGCACAGCAGCACACACATGAGAGGTGCACAGCAGCACACACATGAGAGGTGCACAGCAGCGCACACATGAGAGGTGCACAGCAGCACACACATGAGAGGTGCACAGCAGCGCACACATGAGAGGTGCACAGCAGCACACACATGAGAGGTGCACAGCAGCACACACATGAGAGGTGCACAGCAGCACACATGAGAGGTGCACAGCAGCACACACATGAGAGGTGCACAGCAGCACGCACATGAGAGGTGCACAGCAGCGCACACATGCCATGTCACGTACAGGAGAGGATGCGCTCGTTCATCTCTGCAAACGTCTCTCCTGAAGGCAGAGGACGAGGCGGGCCCACCCCTGCCACGCGCTCTGTCTCGTACTCCTCAAGGACCTGACGGGATGGAGGGTGGGAGGAGGAGTCGGAGGAAATGAGAAAGACTGTCCCTATCTCACACATGAGGTGGGCCCACCCCTGCCACGCGCTTTGTCTCGTACTCCTCTAGGACCGGAAGGGTCGAGAAGCGATGCAAGGAAGCGTGATCGACAGCATGAGGGGACGAGGGTGAGGCTGAGGCGCTGTCAGGGGCAAGAAGAGGAGGCGGGCCCGCCCCTGCCACGCGCTCTGTCTCGTGCTCCTCTAGGACCTGGAGGGAGGGAGGATGGAAGGAGGAGACAGAGGAAATGAGAAGCACTGTCCCTATCCAACACATGAGGAGGGCCCACCCCTGCCCCGCGCTCTGTCCCATACTCCTCTAAGACCTGAGAGGAGAATGGCGGAAACATGAAGAGGACTTCTGTAGCAGGGCGTTGAGAGGCGCAATGCGGGAGACGGAAGCAAGTTGGCCGAAGCGGGCCCACCCCTGCCACGCGCTCTGTCTCGCACTCCTCTCGGACCTTGAAGGTGGAGGGGAGTGTAGTTTGATAAAAAGAGGCGGGGCCACCCCTGCCACGCGCTCTGCCTTGTACTTCACTCGGACGTGGAGGGTGGAGGGGAGTGGCAGGAGGGCGCGGAAGGGAGACAAAGAAGAAACGCTCCCTTTGATAAGACGACGCAGAATGGAAGACACAGATGACTCATCCATGGGTAGTGGTGAGTGGAGTGTAATGTACTGTTACTGTTACTGCACTGTGTTGCCACATGCTGTGGTGCAAAGGTTGTCAGTGCAGTGCAGACACACACGACTCATCCATTGGTAGTGAATGGAGTGTAATTTACTGTTACTGTACTGTGCTGTGTCGCCAAGTGCTGCGGTGCTAAGGTTGACAATGCAGACAGCGAGTATCGGCACACACACACAGTCACCACGGAAGGTCAGAGCAGCCGTATGAGGCGACTTTGAGTCCACTCAAAAATCACATTGCAAAGGTTGTCAGTGCAGAGTCGAGACAGTGAGTATCGTATCGGCACACACACAGTCACCACAGAAGGTCAGAGCAGCCGCACCTGAGAGATGGTGAAGGCAGGCAGCTCAGTTCTCTCATGCACTCACTCCCAGTTGTGCCTGTGACTGGAGATACGTAGAGAGAAGGTGACCTTATCCACCTAGTCACCATCAAAGGGCAGAGCAGTAGCACCTGAGAGATGGTGAAGGCAAGCAGCTCTCTCATGCACTCCCAGTCGTGCCTGGACCACCAACGGGGGGAAAATAAACGCCAGGGGATGGAGGGGAGGGGAGGGAGGGTGAGAGAGAATGTGCTGCAAACGAGATGACTTTTGAGTTTGAGTCAACTGAGAGAGAATGAGAGAGAATGAGAGAGAATGAGAGAAAATGTGCTGCAAACATATTTGCCGGAGCTACACGTCACAGTCTGTTACCCTCCAGGTAGAATCCGTCACCCATCACACAAAATCCGTCTACAGTCATCAGACAAAATCCGTCAACTAACTGACAGACTCCATCACCCACCAGACGGAATCTGTCGCCCACAGACAGAATCCGTCGCCCACCAGACAGAATCCATCACCCACCAGACAGAATCCGTCGCCCACCTGACAGTGCCTGTGAGGGCAGTGACTTTAAGAATCGCCTTGACCTCTGATGACAGCTCCCTCTCACCACTGATTGACTGGCCAGGGTTTGACAGGCGCATAACAGAATCCGTCACCCGGCTAATAGAATCCGTCAGCTGACTAACAGAATCCGTCACCTGGCTAACAGAGTCCGTCACCAACCAGACAGAATGCGTCACCCACCAGACAGTGCCTGTCAGGGCAGTAACCTCCAGAATCGCCTTAAGCTCTGGCGAAAGCTCCCTTTCCCCTGGCGACCTGCCGGTGAGGCGTGGGATGGAACATGGGGGGAATGGGGAATTCTCCTCCCATGGGGGGAACACGTCGTTTGCCTTCACCTCCAGTTGCACTTCTCTCTCGCCTGGCGACCTGCAGGTGAGGGGTGGGATGGAATATGGCAAGAGCTAAGAATAAGAGAGAATTGGGGGTGCGGGGAATGGGGAAGAGTCTGCTTTTGAGTCGACTCAGGCTTTTGAGAATTCTAAAATCTCTCCTTGGGGATGCGGGGAATGGGGAAGCTTTTGAGGCGCCTAGCAGTCTCAGTTGGGGGTGCGGGGAATGGGGAAGTCTCCCTGGACTCTGCTTTTGAGGCGCCTCAACAGTCGACCTGCTGGTGACAGTTGAGATGACGACAGCAAGAACTGAGAATCAGAGAGGATTGGTTGGGGATGCGGGGATTGGGGATGCGGGGATTGGGGATGTGGGGATTGGGGATGCGGGGATTGGGGATGTGGGGATTGGGGATGCGGGGATTGGGGATGCGGGGATTGGGGATGTGGGGATTGGGGATGCGGGGATTGGGGATGTGGGGATTGGGGATGCGGGGATTGGGGATGTGGGGATTGGGGATGTGGGGATTGGGGATGTGGGGATTGGGGATGTGGGGATTGGGGATGCGGGGATTGGGGATGTGGGGATTGGGGATGTGGGGATTGGGGATGTGGGGATTGGGGATGTGGGGATTGGGGATGTGGGGATTGGGGATGCGGGGATTGAGAAAGGCCTCTCGCCTTGAGCTCTGATGATCGAACAGCTCGCTGTCGCCGGGCCATAAGCACGGGAAATTGAGACAGCGAATAAGAGGATTGGAAATGATGATTGCCTCGATCATGGACATGGGGCATGGACAGGTGGATGTTGTACGATACGTGGAGACTCGCTCAGTGAGAGCAGTCACCGAGAACGCTTGGCGCGGAAACGACGACTGCCTCGTTCACGCGCTAATGCGACTCGTACGGTGAAGCAATCGAGGTAATGATCGCTATAAACCACAATACTAGAGCATATTACATCGCAACCGTTGCGACGCAACGGTGCAGTGAGCGGTGGCGCAGGTTGGAGTATGCAAGGGTGATGGTCACAAGGCTAGACGCACATCGCAACGCGCCACATCGACCACAACAATCGCAACACGCATACTGAAACACACGCGACGCCACGCACCGGTCCCGGAATGCGGTGAGCGCTGCTGCCGCCGGCAGAGACGAAACTGCCATCGCCCTAAGACTGCTGTCGCCTAGATCGCTTCCCGCCCGCGATTGCTGCCTGTCTGAACTCTGCTACCCGCCTGCTACACTGCTATGGGTAGAGAAGCGCGAGCCCGGCCGATAGGCGAATTGACAACTACGTGTGATTCAGGCCCCGTGCTAGACTACAATCCCCTCAGCCTTCCTCGCTGGCGAAATCACCAGAAGCGTTGGGAAGTCCACCTCGTCCGCAAAATGGCGGGAAGCAGAAAGTGACCTTGGGAGTTGCGAGAGTGGTGGGCAGTGCCTCGCCAAGAGGAGCTCAGTACAATCTCGTTTCCGCTCTCCAAAGAAGATTCATTAATCTGTCCATATAAACACGTGAACATGAATGATCCAAGTGCAAGAATAAATGCAGCAAGGTGATTGCGAAGTGTTGCAAGTTATTTAATATTTAGTTACCGTAAATCAAACGAAGGCATCTGTTGAAGTATAATCGACAGAGTTTACTTATGCATTCCTGATATAAAACTTAGACTTTACTAGTAGCGCGATACGTCATATGGAAGGACGCGCGTGATGACGCTCTCAGTAGCGAGTCGACGCGTGAACAGTAGGTTCGCGCGTATAGTCACCGGAAGGGTCACATCATTCCCAGTCACACGAACAGTCACTAGTCATGTCACGCGAATAATCGCAATACACTATGAACAGGTACATCCGAATAAGTACTTCGTAGACGTACCGGTATTATCCATGATTATCATCCCTGTCATTTTGGACATTTCCAATACAAGGTGTAACGTCTTCCGCTGACTTTGCTCGTGGTTCCACCAACTCTAGATCATGGTTCACCTCTACAGCATTCAACACAGGTCGAAGTACTCTACTGCCATGGCCCACCACCACGCTGTGAAAAACAAAACAGCAGGCGATGAAGCCTTCACAGCCGTGCCCACAACATGCGGTGCTAGCAGGGAAAGCCCCGGCACCATCACCTCCCTGGCTTGCACCGCCCCAAAACCCGACAGCTTGATGGCACCTGTGATCCATCTGCCCACAAGCCCTGACAGCCGTGCCCATGCTACCTAAAGCAATGTTCTTCAAGCCTTCACCGCCGTGCCCATGACATGCGGTGCTAGCAGGGACAGTCCCGGCACCATCACCTCCCTGGCTTGCACTGCTCCAAACCCCGACAGCTTGATGGCAGTGAGCGGGCTGCGAGTGAGGTGGCACCCATCAGCCAGTGCCGCCTGTAGGGGGTCGAGTATTCGCTGCCAGGTGTGCAGAGAGGTGCCCTGCGGTGCTGCCACGTGCTCCAGGAAGTAGTAGCTGGGCGGTTGAAAACACCATAAAACGGATAAGAAGGGGGAAGAAGGGGTAGAGATAGGAGACGAAACAGGATGCAGGTGTCTCGTGTCTGTCACGAATGGTGCTTTCTGGTTATTTTTCCCACCCAAGTTTTCTCCAACTCCCGCTCCGCAGCTTGCTTTTATTGCAGCACACGCCTTGCCTCATATCACAATGCCTTGTCCGCTCGGCCAATCACTTGAGGGCTGACGAGCCACAGGCCTGGCAGCATGACCTCCCTGGCTTGCACTGCAGTCTCAGGCACCTTTAACCACCGTCCTCCATTAGAAAAAGGTTAGAAACACAACGCCTTGTCGGCTCGGCCAATCACGTGAGGGCTGATGAGCCACAGGCCTGGCAGCATGACCTCCCTGGCTTGCACTGCAGCGAAGCCAGACAGCTTGATGGCTGGCAGGGGATCGCGCGTGATGTGGCACCCGTCGTATAGGAGGGGCTGTAGGGGGTCTAGGATGGTCTGCCAGCGGTGCAGAGCGGTGCCGCGCGGCGCTGCTACATGCTCCAGGAAGTAGTAGCTGGGAGGGGAAGGGTGGGACAAGGGGGTGAGAATAGAGAAGGGAGAAAGAGAGAAGAAAAGAAGAGAGGAGAAAGAAGAAGTGGAGAGGAGAGAGAAGGAGAAAGTGGAGAAGAGAGAGAAAGAAGAAGTGGAGAAGAGAGAGAAGCTTTTGACCAGGGCGCCTCACCTCCCCCCAGGCTTGAGGATCCTTTTGATTTCGCTGACGCACTGCCTGACGTCAGCAACCGAGCACATCACCAGGGAGCACACTGCCACGTCAGCACATCCGTCGTCCAATGGGAGAGCTTCCCCCACCCCTTGCAGGAATCGGAACTGATTTCCCGCCAACCCTGATGCTGCTGCCGACGCCTCTGCATAAGGCTGCATGGAGGGGTTCGGATCTACACCCACTATCTCAAAAGCTGGAGCGGATTGTGTCTGTAACGAGGATGAAATATTTGGAGAAGATTCTGAACTCGGGGTGTAGAAGCGGAAGTTGGGGCCTGCTCCCACACCGATCTCCACCACTCTGAAAACCCCTTCCTTCCCAGAAACTCCCATCCCCTCTGCTGAACTTTCTCCTCCTCCCCCTCCCCCTCCTCCCGCTCCTCCTGCTGCTGCTATTCTTCCAATTCCCGCCCTAAGAGGCTCGAACAGGGCTGTCTTATACCCCTCCACGCTCTCCTCGTACTCTTTCATCCCGGTCGCCATCATCCACGCGAACAGCTCCTCCTGCCACCGCCATTTCCCGCCCCGTATCGCCGCCAGCGCCGCTTGCGCCGCCTCCGCCGTCTGCGCGGAGGCGGAAGCGGCTGAAGAGGCGGAGTCGGCTGCGTTTGCGGGGAGCGCGGAGGCGGAGAGGAGGAGAGATGCGGAGATGAGTGCGCGGCGGGAGCAGATGGCGCAAGGGCAGGAGAGGGGCGCGGGGGGGAGAGGGGAGGGGGGAGGGTGGGCGGAGGACAGGTGCGCGGACGGGTCGGTTGTTGCTGACTGGATGGATGATGGTAGTGAATGTGCTTTTATCGAAACGGGATGTACAGGAGCTTGTTGACTGCTGAGGCTGCTTCGGTACTTGGAACGACGGGTTTGGTTCGGATGCCGAGCCTGAATCGAGACGGCCGGAAGGGAACACCCGCCATGCCTCGTTATTAGGCTCGCTAGAAGGTTCGGGGTTCCGAGCCTCGCAGCGAGGTTCGGCAGAGAAGGCATCGAAGGCCTCTCTAGTGGCATGCCGCGGAGCGACGAGGCGGAAAGTTGTGATCGGGGCGGGGGTGATCGAAGGGGACACGCGGAGAGAAAAGGGCGGGACGAAATGGATGAGGGCCTCATCGCAACGCAAGGAACGGACGGGCGGCACAGCGCCATTTGCGGCGAGTCTCGAACCCCCCAAAAATGTATTTGAATGGGGAGATGTGATGAATGCGAACCAGCAGAAATGCCCGAGAAGAACTGGGAAATTGAAATGAGGGCAGGTCCCCACTCCCAAGACTACGTCCCCCGTACATTTTATCTGGTCAAACTGGGTTCCTCAAGGTTCGAAAACCGGTTTCTACCTTCTCGTACCGTGCACCACCGCATGCATTGCGATCAGGGGCCATGCTCTCGGGATCTGCTCAGAAGGCGTACGCGTCTTGAGCTGACGCTAGATCCGTGGAGTGAAACTTTGAAACTGCGCATTGTTTCCTGTATGACCCAAATCCGTATAATACACAAAAATGAACTACAGCATCAGAATGGTCTTGCGTTTCGACCCAAGCCGAGCCTAAGTCCAGGCCTGCCGGACCTCCGCCTTCGGTCAGTGAGAGCGTCAAGCAGGCACAGCAATGCGCCGTCTATTGCATCGGCTGCTCTCGACAGGTGCTCTGCATTCATCTCCTCCCGTTGGCCGAGCTCTCGCAAAAGACTCGATGCCGCTGCTGCTGTGCACGTCTTGTCTTCAGCTGGTTGGGGCCTGGATTGTAAATTCAGGAAATATGGTGAAGGCAAGAAAACTACATAAAAAATTCAACGATTGCCAGCATTTTTTTGGTACAGAGCAGGTGCATGGATGTGTTCACACAAGTGCTAGTTGTTGCCAATACGGTAATGAAAAGGAAAGGGAACGGGAAAGCACTTGATTGCAGCAAAAGGTTACCCCTGAAAATGTAGGTGGAAGCAGTGGAAAATCACCTGAAGGCAAGTAGGCAGCGGTTGCAAGGAAAGGAAAGGCATGTTCGTGGCATCCCATGTGGTGCATATTTTTTAGGCGCCTCAAAAATACACTTGAAGGCAAGTAGGCATCACCTGAGGCCGTGCATGACTGATGGCTGAGGCGGTTGCAAGGAGAGAAACGGCAGGTCTGTCCCATCCCATGCTGCATGTGCTGCTTCCTGTGGTGTGAAACATACGGGTGGTGTTAGGTCACACATGTTCCGCATGCATGTAACGAGTTGTGTGAAGATAGGACGAATACACATAGTATGTGCATATCATGCATCAATATCGTGTACATACAATGTGCTCTTGTGGTTATGTGATGTGCACGCACACAAGATGTGTACTTGCACTACCAGCAACTCCCACAAAAACCCACTCCCAGCAACTCCCACAAAAACCCACTCCCAGCAACTCCCACCGTACCCAACTCCCAAAAACTCCCACCGTACCCTACTCCCAACAACTCCCACCGTACACCACTCCCAACAACTCCCACCGTACACCACTCCCAACAACTCCCACCGCACACCACTTCCAGCAATGTCTCACCTTGAGCCGTGCGATCATGGCCTTGGAGTTGCTCCACGTGCCGTCAACTGCCAGTGACACCATTCACTGCCAAGCCCACTATTGTTAACTCTGTAAGCCAGCTGTACAATTCTCTCACCTTGAGCCGGGCAATGGCCTTGGAGTTGCTCCACGTGCCGTCAATAAGAATGAAGTGAAAGGGGTGAAGGAAAGATGACGATGATGATGATGCGGTATGTGCTGCAGTGTGCAGTGTGCAGAGTGCAGTGTGCGCCGCTGCTATTTCCAGTGCTGCGTGTCATTACCATTACCATCAGCTTTTGAGTCGACTCAAAGGCGCGTCATTACCCTTACCATCAGCGGCTCACCTTGAGCCGTGCAATCATCGCCTTGGAGTTGCTCCACGTGCCGTCGATCAAAATGAAGTGAAGCGAGGATGACGACGGCGACGCTGCTGCAGGCGCTGCACTGCCGCTCGCCCCTGATTCCACCGATGCACTCCCACTCGCCATTGCCTCTCCTGCTGCTGCCTCTGCTGCTCCTGCTGCTGCCTCTGCTGCTCCTGCTGCTGCCTCAGTTGCGGCTGCTGCTGCTGCTGCTGCTACCTCTGCTGCCGCCCCCAAAGCGGCAGCAGTATTAGCACTACCAGAGGCAACATTGGCAGTGCCATGACAAGTCTCAATGTGCCTCTGTCTCTTACTCGCCGGGGACGAAAAGAAGGAGAAGGAGGAGGGTAGGCGCATGGTTGGCACAGTGGCAGGGGGGGGAGTGGAGGCTGGGTACACGCACCACACAGAGCTGGGACCTGTTGATGGTGGTTGGTGGGGGGAGGGATGCAGTGGTGGGGCAATCTGATTACATGCCAGCGGTGGGTACACGCACCCCACAACACCAGTAGCCAAACATGCGTGCACGCACACACGCGCACACAGACGCACACATGCGCACACATGCGCACACGGACGCACACGCACGTACATCCACACCCACACCCACCCACCCACACACATCAACCACAGACACACACCCGCCCACGTGCACACACACACACACACACACACACACACACACACACACACACACACACACACACACACACACACACACACACACACACACCCACACACACCCCCGCAACCCCACACACACCCCCGCAACCTCACACACACCCACCGACACACACACACACCCACACACCCACACACACACCCACACACACACACACACCCACACACACACCCACCCACACACCCACACCCACCCACACACCCACCCACACACAAACACCCACACCCACACCCACACACACACCCACACACAGCCTCTGCTCCCCAGCAGCCGTGTTGCTGCAGCGGGTAAACACCCATCACCCCTACTCGTTTCAGTTCGTCCCTCATGCGCTCCCCATGCGCTCCCCATGCGCTCCACATGCGCTCCCCATGCGCTCCTCCTCATGCGCGTTGATCCCAAACACACACAGCCGAGCGCTCACAGCCAAGAATTCTGCCCTCCCAGCGCCTGCCACAAGGGCTTGTTGCCTTCTGGCCACAGGAGCTTGTTTCAATCCATCTCACCTGCTCGTTTCAGCTCATCCCGCATGCGCTCCTCACGTGCATTCATCCCAAACACGCACAGCGGAGCAGCCTCGCCCCACAGCCCCTGTGCTGCGTGGGAAAACGGCCATCTCATCTGCTCGTTTCAGCTTGCCCCACATGCGCTCTTCACGTGCCTTGATGCCAAACACGCACAGCCGGGCAGTCTTCGCCCCCAACACTTGCCACACGATCCCCTTCCCATTCTTGCTTCAGCCAATCGCACCTGCTCGCGTCAGCTCGTCCCACATGCGCTCCTCATGGGCGTTGATGCCAAACACGCACAGCCTTGCAGCGTCTCCGCCGAGCACCTGCCACAGGAGCTTCCCCGTGTTGTTGCGCCGCAGAAAGTCCTGATGGCGTGCGAGGGGCGGGGAGATAAGGGGAAAGGGGGGGGGGGGGGGGATGAATGAAAGTCAGCAAGCACTCAAACTCAGCTTCCTCTCCCCCCAGCACCTGCAAGGGGAGCTTGCCTGCGTTGTTGCGCCACACGGAAAGTGCTGAAGGCGTGCGAGGGGTAGGGAGAGACGGGGAGAGGGGGAGGGGGGGAGGGGGGGAGGGTGGTATGAAATTCAGCGAGCGCTCAAAGACTCAGCACCCTCTCCCCTCCCCCCAGCACCTGCCAGGGGAGCTAGCCCGCGCTATTGCGACGCACAGGGAAGTCGTGAGTTGGAGAGGAGGTGAAGTGGTCCGTACAGGCAATTTCCTCACCAGGGGGCGATCAGAGGGCCCCTGAGCATTTGGCGAACGTCAATGATCTTACAACGAGTACAGAGATCCACCTTAGGGTGCATGTAGGGTCAGATCACACTGCTGCTTAGCAAAAACAGTAGTGGCACTGCGCACACAGAGATCGTCTCATAACGAGCACCACAACCCACCTTGTGGTGGATGTAGAGCCAACTAACCACGTTAATGTGCATGCGTGAAACAAATAGCGCAATACAATCGTCCTATGAATAAAGGGTGCAAGAAACTCACCTTAGGTTGCATGCAGAGCCAGATCACAACGAAATTCTTACAGGCGCAGACACCAACGCACACAGGAACGCACCTTGGGGTGCATGTAGAGCCAAATCTCCACGTTGATCAGTGAAAACAGTAGAGGCACCTTGTTCGTACACTGAATGGACAACTACGGCCTTATAACGAGTAAAGGAACCCACCTTGGGGTGCATGTAGAGCCAAATAACCACGTTTTTCAGCAGAGCGGGGTTGGGAGACACCTCATCACACGTGCAGTCCTCCCTTGGTAGCCAACACTGCAGGCATCAGAGGGGTGATGGACGATACAGCCAGGTCACAGAGCGAGAGTGCAGGAACTGACTCAGGGCAGACCTGGCAGTGGCTCCTCATAACCCTGAATGGTCAGGTTGAGAGGTGTTGAGATGGATACACCTCATTAATCTTGCCGTCTGCTTGTGGCAGCCAGCACTGCCTGCGTGGGAGCGGAGGGTGATGGGAGATCAAGTCAGTCAGGTCAAGTCACAGAGAGCCACAGGGAGAGAGAGTGCAGATACGGATCAAGGTCGACCTTCGGGGTTGGGAGACACCTCATGGCACGTGCAGTGTGCTCGTGGCAGCCAGCACTACAGGCAGGAACGTGAGACCATCCATCACTACAGACTGCACGTGCCATGAGATGCGAGGGGCGATGGATCACATTCCTTCCTGCAGTGCCTGGTGGCGAGGCGATGTATGATCCACGAATGTGGCTGTATGATCATACAGTCGGTTTTTGTGGGAGTTTTGAGGAGGCAGGGATTGGGCGACACCGCAGCAGCGCATGTGCAGTCCGCTCACGTGCAGTCGACCCTTGGTGCCTGAAGGAGGTTTGGAGCATTGAGGGGATACGATACGATAGAGAGAGAGAGAGAGTTGACTTTTGAGTCGACTCAAAAGTCATCCCTTGGTGCCTGAAGGAGGTTTGGAGCATTGAGGGGATACGATATGATAGAGAGAGAGAGAGTTGACTTTTGAGTCGACTCAAAAGTCATCCCTTGGTGCCTGAAGGAGGTTTGGAGCATTGAGGGGATACGATACGATAGAGAGAGAGAGAGTTGACTTTTGAGTCGACTCAAAAGTCATCCCTTGGTGCCTGAAGGAGGTTTGGAGCATTGAGGGGATACGATACGATAGAGAGAGAGAGAGTTGACTTTTGAGTCGACTCAAAAGTCATCCCTTGGTGCCTGAAGGAGGTTTGGAGCATTGAGGGGATACGATACGATAGAGAGAGAGAGAGTTGACTTTTGAGTCGACTCAAAAGTCATCCCTTGGTGCCTGAAGGAGGTTTGGAGCATTGAGGGGATACGATACGATACGATAGAGAGAGAGTTGACTTTTGAGTCGACTCAAAAGTCATCCCTTGGTGCCTGAAGGAGGTTTGGAGCATTGAGGGGATACGATAGAGAGGGCGTGTAGATAGACAGCAGAGGCTGCCACGTTCCTGCCTGCAGAGAGTGTGTTGGGGGACAGCTCAGTGCACTGAAATCAGCGTCCCGCACGCCCCTCTGTATGCTGTGATTCGATTGACCGCCATCTGCTGCGCAGCAAAGGCTTCAGCTCACTCCCCCCCTTAGAGACAACTGAGAGCACATCAATCACCACCACACACCCACCATCACCGCACCCATCAACACACGCACCTCTCTGCACGCCCCTCTGTACACCATCCCCATGCACGCCCCTCCGTGCCCTCATCAGACTGCAAGTTGCAACCACCACCCTACACCGACCGACTCACCCACCCGCCCGCCCTCCCACCTGTCTGCCCGCCGTGATGCGCTTCATGGCCATCTACCGCGCAGCAAATGCAGAGGCACCTAAGTTCACACTAATGACCACTGCGCCCACCCACCTGTCTGCACGCCCCTCTGTACGCCGTGATGAGCTTGACCGCCATCTGCCGGGCAGCAAAGGCGCGCAGACACCCCTCCCCGTCCACCCTCTTCCTCTCAGGGTTCAGGTATGCCGTGCGGAACCACGCCTCGATTGCCTCTGCTCCTGGGCTCTGGTCAAGTCAAGGGGGGGAAGGGGGGGGAAGGGGGGAGAAAGGGGAGAGGGGGTCAAAAGCACGCAGACAGCCCCACCTCCCCGTCCGCCCGCTTCCTGTCAGGGTTCAGGCAGGCCGTGCGGAACCACGCGTGGATGGCTTCCGCTCCTGGGCTGTGGTGGGTGAGGGGACGATCGGGGAAGGGAGTGGGGAATGTGGAACCATCCTGGGTGATGAGCCACTGCCCTCTGCTGGCCTTTCAGATCGGCGCAGAACACCCCTTCCCGGCCTTTCAGATCGGGCTGTGAAGGAGGGTGGGGAGGGTCGGAAAAGGCAAGGGGGAAGGGGGGTAGTGGGGGTGGTGGCCTTACCAAGGCGAGCAGAGCAGACACCCCTCCCCCTCTGCCTTCTTCCTGTCAGGGTTCAGGTATGCAGCGCGGAGCCACGCCTCAATGGCCTCTGCTCCTGGGCTGTGAAGGTGAGGGGAGAGTTGAGCACGGGACGAGGGGAACAGGGTGATCACATGAGACATGAGACATGAGACATGAGACATGAGACATGAGACATTAGACATGAGACATTAGACATGAGACAGTAGACATGAGACATGAGACATGAGACATGAGACATGAGACATGAGACATGAGACATGAGACATGAGACATGAGACATGAGACATGAGACATGAGACATGAGACATCGGACATGAGACATCAGACATCAGACACGAGACATCAGACATGAGAAACGCCCTCTTCCCGCTGCAGACCCCCGGGAGGGACGGAGGGAGGGGGGGGAGGTGGGGTCTAGTTTGAGGCGCCTCAAAACTAGACTCCTCTGAGATGGGGCTCAGGTAAGTGGTGTTAAGTGAGAGGGGAGTGAGAAGGGGGGGAGGGGGGAGAGGGAGGGGGGCTTTAAGTGATCCCAGGAGTCAGGTATGCGGTACGGACCCATTTTTCCATGGCTGCTGATGCTCGGCCGCGGAGGGATGGGAAGGGTTTGGCTAGGAACGTCTTATCAGAGGTATAGGTATGCTGTGTGGAATCTACACTCTACTGCTGCTGCTGCCGCTGCTGCTGCTGCCGCTGCTGCACCTACCACGCGGAGGAGGGGAAGTGGGAAGGAAGAAAGAAGAAAGGGTGATGAGGAACACTCGTCGTTGGCCTACCGAGCGTAGAGTGGGGGAGAGAGGAAAAAGGGAGGGAAGAAGAGCGAGAGGGAGAGAGATAGGGAAGTAGAGAGAGAGAGTGCAAGGGGGAGAGAGGAGGGGGCGAAATGAGGAGGGAGAGGGAGAGAGAGAGAGAGAGAGAGAGAGAGAGAGAGAGAGAGAGAGAGAGAGAGAGAGAGAGAGAGAGAGAGAGAGAGTGAGAGAGAGAGAGAGAGAGAGAGAGAGAGAGTTACATTATGAGAGAAAACCATCCGTACCTCGTCCAAGTACCCATCATCCTCGTCCTCTCCCAGCTCCACTTCCCCCCCTTGCCCTCCACTCCTCTCCCCCTCCCTCTCCTCCCCTTCTCTCCTCTCCCCCCCACTCTTAGCCCCCACCTCTCGCCCTTCTCGCTCCTTCATCTCCCCTCCCACTTTCCCCTCCTCCCCCCTCACTCCCTCCTCCGCTCTCACTCCCTGCCCCCCTCTCATTCTCTCCTCTATCTCCAATAACTCCCCCATTATCTGCCTTTGAGGAGCCTGGAAACCACCTTCCTCCCCCCCTCGCATCCTCTCCTCTATCTCCACCACCTCCCCCATAATCCGCACCACCAGGGGGTCCAGCCCTCCCCCCATCCACGGCAGCTCGGCGCGCAGCAGCGCTTCCAGGTGCCGCCTCCGCGCGCCCATCGCGGAGGGCGCGCCACTTGCGGGGGGCGCGCTTATTGGGGGAGTTGCGCCCACTGCGAGAGACTCGTTCGACCCATTTGTTTCATGTAGCTCCTCCGCCTCTCTTAACCCCCTTATCAAACCCTCTCGAGCCCTTGAATCTGGAGCCGCTGTTTTTCCCAACCCTTCAGCCCCTCTTAAACCCTGATCCGCCCTTGAAACCTCGCCCAAAGCGGCTCCAGTCTGCTGAGTCAGCAATGACTGCATCGAGCTGGCAAACGCCCTATTTTCGCTGGCGCTTAAGCCGGATGACGTGGACGCGATGACGTGGCCAGTTGCGGGTGTGGGGCTTTGACGGGTTGTGAGCCCACTACTAGCGGAGTGTAGAGGTCTAACGCGCCGCGTGGATGAGTCTGTAACGAAGCAAGCTCTTGTCGCGGACGTTTTCGGGACAAAGTTGGCCGTGGGGAGAACGCGGTTGGTAGCGCGGCTGGATGAGAATGGACGGCTGAGATTGCTCGTCGCAGCCCTGATCATCAGCAGGGCTCGACGCTGCGAGGCTCCCGAGTCGCTTAGACCTGTACGCGATAAGAGACGCGCGCACAAGCGCATAGTGCGCAATCGACCAGGAGATGCAGTGACGAGAGAAGGGGGATACGAATGGGAGGGCTATCTGCACTGCGAGTTGCCTGCAGATGGTGGGGTGGGGTGGTGTGGCGGGTTGGGGGGTGCTTGGGTCATGGGCCCGTGGCTCGCTGACGCAAATGAGAATATTACCCACTTAGAGGACACCCTGATACAAGTAAAGCTACTAAATGTACTGGATGGCATAGACATATCTGTATGGGACTATTTGACAAGTTGACCAAGAGCTTAGCCATTGCATTGTCAGTCAATAATGCATCCTTTTACTAATAAAATCTGGGCACATCTGTCTCTACAAGACTTTCTCAACTTGATTTCCACTTTTGTGACAATCCGAATTGTAATATGATTTAAAGATGCGCAAAAATGTTACGATTGCGAGAGAAAATTGACTAGGAAGAGTGTTATCCTCCCTAATAGCTGACCTAGCTAGGTGATATAAACGTAATTAACCTAACTAGATATATATATATATATATATATGCATGTATATATACTTATTGATACACCCCCTAGCCTAGGTAGAGGCATCGTTTAACAAACCAGGGCAGCACTACGATTCTGGCCTCTGGTGGATGTAATAAAGCAACTCAGTGCACCATTACTAGTCTGACCACTGAGACAAAGACCACAAGGCCAGTCAGCAAGTATAGCAAGACAAGTTGCTATAAAACATGAAGTACAAGCCGGTAAAGCATAGATCAGGATACAAGCATAGACTAGACCAAGTTGACTACTGATCCGCTGATAGTCACGAGACGGAAGTGCCTTTGTGAAGAAATCAATAGTGTTGGCCTCTGAGGCCAACTTTACTACACGAGCCAGACCGCAACGCTGCAACTCAGGCAGCATGACATAACGCAGCTGGATGTGCTTAACCCAGCCCTCAAGTCGAGCCTCCTGACATAGGTAAATCATGGCCCCGTTGTCAGCAAAAAGGACCAGGGCAGACCTAGGCTGCTCGCCTAAGTCGGTGAGCAAGAATGTCAGCCAACGGAGCTCATGAGCGGCCATGGCACCAGCGTAAATCTCTGCCTCACAACTGGACTGAGCTACAGACGATGACCTAGTGGACCTCCACGAGACTGCACCAGCACCAAGACTAAAACAATAGCCCTATGAGGACCTGAGCGTCTCTAAGTCATCAACCCACGGCGCGTCTGTGTCTTCAGTGAGCACCACTGACTCCCGTCCTCCTAGTACAAGCCCCAGTCCTGATGTACTCGCCAAATACCGCAGTACCCTCTTGGTAGCCGACCAGTGGACTGGTTGGTGCCTGCCCGTCACAACAAAGTGAGCAAGGATACTGAGAGGGTACACTAGATCTGATCGAGTGCACTTAATCAAGTACATAAGGCACCCCACGAGCTCTGCGTATGGACCACGGGGCTCAGCCAACTCAGTTGGAATAGGAGCAGAGAGCTTATGATCCACATGCAGAAGGGTGGGCTATGCTGAGGATAGCTGGAGATCGAACCTCAGAAGGATCTGCTGCACCATATGGGACTGGGAGAGTGCGATTGTGTATGCGGCACGGTCACAACAGATCTCCAAGCCGAGATAGCACCGCAGCTCCCCCAAGTCAGTGCAAGTGTGCGTCCTAAGTAGCCCAGCCTTCACTGAGGCCAGTGTGTCTCTGTCTGGGGTAGCAAAGATTAGTGGGTCTACGTACATTAGGATGTAAAACGGGTTTTGACTAGTACGGACAAGGAGCGAGGGGTCAGAAGAAGACGAGAAGAATAGCAAAGCAACAAGTGTGGTGCGGAGCGTGTCCTGTCACTCACGGGGTGCCTGACATAGACCATAGATAAGGTGGCACACGCTCTACTGGGTCCCAATTAGGAAGGACCTAGAGAATCCTAGTGGGTGTCTGAGGTAGATCTGATCGTGCAGACTACCCTGCAGAAAGGCTGTGGAGAAGTCCAGAAAGTAGAGCTCGTAGTTGCGCTGCGCGGCTAGGTGAAGGAGCACCCGAAGAGTTGTCATCTTCGTGGTAGGGGAGAAGGTATGGAAGAAGTCCACACCCTCCCACTGATTGAAGCCTCTACCTACGTAGCGCGCCTCTCTAGGTGCGTGCTTCACCCTGTAGATCCACATGCCATCGACCCCGTTCACCCCAAGCGGGGAACTGCGTCCACGTAAGTGCCTGTTGATCTATAGGATGCCATCTTTTCCTCCATGGCCTGTATCCACAAGGCTGCCCAGGGCCCCAACACCGCCTCAGCGTAAGAGCGCAAGATAAGGATGTCTAGATATTCTGGGTTGCCCTCTGGGGATACAAGGATGGCGCAGAGATGGGGTGCAATGACAGCAAGGTAAGCCAGCTTGTACTGTCTCTCCTCTAATATAGTACGTCGCTGCCAAGGGCAGGTGCACCCCCGACAGACAGAGAATAGGCAGGGCCAGAGACTAGAGTTGCAGTGTAGTCAAGGCGGTGGCTAGGGTAAGCATTGAGACAGTCTCAGGAGGAGCGGTAGGGTTAGTGACAAGATACGCAAGCAAACGGGAGGTGGTAGGACGAGCAGTGTGCACAAGGTTAGGAGAGACGAGTCGAAGGGGAGTCCGGGGGGGGGGACAGCGGATCGTAAACAAGGTCAGGTAGGAGAGAAGGCAAAGTAGGAGGGACGGGCGGTTGGTCAGTGGAACCGGAGGAAAGGCCAAGGAGACGAAGGGCAGACTGCGGTTGCTGCTGTTGCGGCTCCCTGGCTTCTTCACGACCTCTAGCTCCGCCCCAGCTACCACCTGTACTCTCTGAAACAGTACGCCCGGGACTAGCACTCCCTGATGCACCACCCACAGAACCAGCACCCCCAGAGTCAGCACCACCAGAACCAGCACCCCCAGAGTCAGCACCCTTAGAACCAGCACCCCCAGAATCAGCACCCCCAGAACCGACAGCCCCCTGCTGCTGCTAAGGCGAGGGCGGAGGCTGCTCAAGTGCCTAAAGGATCAGGGCTCGGGGGGGAGACACTGTAGGGGCAGCAGGCGTACCCCTAGCGACAGGCCCGCTTGACTCAGCAGGCTTCCCCATGGGCCCAAATGAGGGGAAAAGATTGGCGTGAGAGACACCAGACGGGGCCGCGTGGGGTGGGAGGGGTGTGGCAAGGGGGGCAGTCGCGAGGAAGAGAAGAGGAGGGACAGGAGAGCTACGGTGAAGGAAGTGCTGGTAGTAGGGGAGTGTCTCGTCGAAAGTAATATCATGAGATTGGAAGAAGCGGTGGTGTACCGGGTGGTAAAACAGCCAGTCAAGGGCGTCAAGAGGAAACCCAAGGAAGACACAGGGGAGAGTGTGGGCTCAGAGCTTGTCCGCGCCAGTGGCACGGAAGTGAGCAAGGCTGCCCGAGACGTGGAACGTAGACGCATCACCAAGGGACTCGGTCAAGAGGAGGGTCGACAAAACCAGTAGGCGCAGGGAGTGCGTCAACAGATTAAGCTTTTGAGCTGCGTAGCGCACGACGAACAGCCACAGAAAACAGGGTTCACCTGCCTGGAGTGCGACCTACATCCATGACCAAGACGATGTGTCGCTCAGCGACCCCATTTTGCTGTAGGGAGTCCGACAGTGTGTACGTCTGGCGGATGCCCTCCGCACGTCAAAACTGACCTAGACAGTCGGAGGCCAACTCGCCACCACAGTCAGAGTGTAGACGGACGAAGGGCAGCGGCGCTGGGTGCGGGTGACATGTCCCAGCATGGTCTGGTTGCTGGTCTTCCTGCGTCTCTCCTAGCCCTGCGTGCACCGGTAGCGCCCCTGTGTACCTCCTGCGTCGAGGGCCGGCAATGCGCCACCCCTCACTCCCCCTCATTTTCTCCTATCATAGCACCACTACAGACACTACCCATGGACGTCTGGGGCCGTGCCCTGGTCCATGGCCTTAGCAGGGTGCATTTCCTCCTCTTCGTGGTAGATGGCATCTCGCGGTTCACCACGTCGTTCCCGCTGGAGTGGAAGGCTGACGCGTTGACCATGCTGCGCCTATAATTGAATAGAATCTACAAGCGCATGGGCTCGTAGGATATTTATGGAAAAAATATATGACCACACGAAAGTGTAGCTCTTGAAAATGTGATTTTTTTCATATCACTCACAAATGGGGGTCGTGTCGGTAAATCGGGAGGAATCGTCTCTCGAACATTCTAGTAGCGTTGCTACTACAATGTTGGCCGGCGGTCCAATACGAGGCGAGAACGGCTCTTAGCTGTGCCAACAACACTATGGCTGCGGTCGTGAGGGTGTTGGCATATCCATGTCCACGCCAGCCAGGCTAGGTTTTGGTGAGGTGCATTGAATCTGGCAAGGACACGTCCTTTCCAGAATGTCAGCACACGGTGTAGATGGACAGAGAGGCAAAGATTCCTGTGCCACCCTGTCCTCTACGAGCCTAGTTCAAAGGCTGGCATCGTTCCTCATAGAGGAAGACGAGGCACCAACAAAGAGAGGGTCTGGCTCACCCCTCATTTTTTTCATTATTTCATCGAAGAAAATCCCTTCTAAACCCCACCTTCGATAGGAAAGCTATGCATGGCCTGATGCAATCGGCCATGGCCGTGCTTTTCTGTTGATCTGGTGAGCCTACCCATCTGACACGGACAAGCGTGTTGCGCGTCAATATCTCATCTGCCTCCCTTGCCCCTGCCTCACCTTCCGCATTGCCTATTCCTTTTTGTAGTCCCAAGCCTTTCTCCCCCCAAAAGATTAGCAACAAGCCTATCCTCACCCTCCTTGTCCTTGGACTTAATATTCCCACGGATGAGTCTGATGAGCAGGCTGACGGCTCTAACGAGGAGCAAGCCGACGACACACGCACCGTTCCCATCAGTACCGATGAAATGCACGCTGCCGCCGACGGCGCTGACGGCATGCATGCTGACGACGATGCTGACGGCATGCACGCCGGTCTAATCAACCATTGCCACAACTTCCATAGGAGCAGTGAGAGCTTTTCTAATGAGCTCTTCGTCACCTTGCTCCTTGCCGGACTCAGCTCCAACTGGCACACGGACAAGGGGAGATGCAAGTTCTGCAAGAAGCCTGGTCACTTTAT